CATTCTACAGAGCCATTTTCCAATAACTAAGGCTATCTAGACGAGTATCTTGGTAGTTGTTATCCTAGGTGATTGCAGAGAAGGATCACTAGAATCTGTCAACTGATTAAGCTTTTTATTATAGTAAGTGTTAAAATGACAGTAAAAACAGTTTCCAGGGACGATAATAATTAGATATAGTGGTGCATAAAACAAAATGAGATCTTGGTAACCAATTAAGTTGCCAAAAGAAACACAAAGTGAAATATTGATAGCTCGTATTAGCTGAGAAAATATATAATGGCATATATTTCGCTGGCATCTTGGCGGATAATTGGGGCGGGAAGACCAGTCAAACGCACGAGGTAAAATAGATCATTCTTGCTTCAGCAGAGATAAAAAGGCTTATAAAACACAAAGTTGTAGTCTCTACTAGGTTACTAACATTATCCTCCTTTATTATCCAACCACCAGCACCTATGGAACCACTCTGGCGCTTGGAGAAAAGCTTGGGCATTAGAGAAGCTATACATGCTGACTCCATACGAGAGTCAGTGGAAACTACCAGGAGGAATGTATGTCTAAAGAAGGCTACAAATGTAATAGCTCCTTATGTTAATATCAGAGAATAAAGTTAACCTGATGCACATGCCACATTCGTAGTTGTCAGTTACCTATTATTCACTCAGCAGTTTCAGCTTCCATACTTGTTGGATGAGAACTGAGATGACAACGACAATAATCTAACCACTTGGCCAGTCAATTAACTGTCATTTTGGGCCGATGCACCCTGACGTGATGGTTAGGCTTTCCATCCTAGAAAGTTACTTAGCTGGGCTGCTTGCACAGACTCTAGATAGCTTCCAGTCAGCTTCAACTAAAAATATTGCTCACGGTTGTTTGGTGGTTATCAATCCTGCTAGACCTGAGCTCAAGCCACGCAACTTCTGACTCTTTAGCCTGGCTCACCTAACCTAGTGGCCAGACAGCTCTTAACACAGCCCCAACTAGTGAAGGAAGAATAAAACACTTAAAGCTGCTGAAAGGAATATTTGTTGACGATGATTTGGATAGAGTGTACAAGCAGATGATCACACCAGAGCGAACCTGACGATCTCTTGTCATTTGAAAAAATTATCTTTGCTACCCTGAGCCCCAGTCTGCGTGGATAAATAAATCGATCGTAGATGGTGAAATGGCTGAGGAGTTTTTCTGATCTCCTGCATTATTCCCCATCAGAACCAAATGCAGGTAACTGTGTTCTGTTTTAGAAGCTATTGCCCATGGTGAAACGACAGGAGACAATGACCAGGCAACAGATCGTTTATTCAGAAAATCAACAGACATTTATAGATTTTTATGTACACTATTATTCGTTATTGTTAGCAGAGAATCAACATCTGATTGGTTGTTTTCCTGCTGAAGGTTGTTCTGTCATCTCTCTGTAGCTGTTTCTTAGACAGGCCATTGATATGACTGCGAATCGTACCCGCCCACGCTAAATCTGCTGTGATTGGTTGTGGATTTCCTCAAGGTTAGGCTTTGCTCCTGTTTTTTCGCATGACCCCGATTTGGGACGTAAACACTGACGTCAATTATTGTTTATAATTTTGCCTTGCAGACGGCTCTCAAGGCAATAGGAGGATTTTGTTAAACTTGTTACAACCGTTGTTTTTGGGGGGACGTAACGCATAAAGAATAAGAATGCCAAAACCTGGTAGAGTGAAAGATTTTCTTCTTAGTAGGAAAGAAGCAGTATTAATAGTGTGACAGAAGAAAACAAGCAGCTTAGCGCTTGATAGAAGCAGTGAGTTGTTGGGCTGCCATAATTTCGTGAGATCTAAATGTGCAAAAGATCCTCAAGATCAGTGGAAATGCATAGCTATGAACATGAGTGTTTCCAGCAAGAATTTAATCCTTGACTCATATGCAAAGGAATAACGTAAATGTTGGCATGCGATGCAAGTATTGTTGCATAGAATCATTAGTTGGGTAAAAAAATTGAACATGAGCGTAACCAAGAAAGATGAACTCCAAACACTGTGTCCCGTGATATCACTTAATTCATTTATATAAAGTGACTACTTGGTGATGCTGGGGATCAGATGTTGGTAGATTAGTAGCAAGATGCACACAACTGGTAGTTCTGGGTAGTTGTAAGGTCAGTTACATACGTATGTCTGCAGTACGCGGTGGTAAGTAAGTGATAACTAATTGGCGTTGTTAACTTCTGAGTTAGCCTGTGAGGTTGCTGTTCAGTGCGAGAAAAAGATATGATACGAGAGACGGCCAGGAATATTTGTCCCGCGATTAGATTTCGCTCAGCTGACAGACACCATGGATTGAAACCACGGAGAGGATAACTCCTAATTCATGTCTTTGATCCATTTTTGAAATGGTTGCCAGTGTTGGGGTAAGTGAGAAGGCTAGTTGGTGCACAGTAGTTTTCTTCAACTGCTAGGCTGTAAACACATGTGATGGAATGACTAGATCGCTATACAGCCATTAAACTGACAACATGTAAAAATTGGTTCTAATGAAGCTTGCACATAATCCGCAGTCATTTATGAAAGTTCACTGAATAAGGTGATGAGGGGCAGCTATAAGCCTGTTAGAAATACCACCAGGATATGTTCTTGGCTACTTTATTCAATGTAACCATCATAACTCGCGATTTTTTTAGGTAATACTATAACTGTTATGGTGATATTGGTGGCGTAGTCACTGGCGCTGAATTAGTTGATCAGCCGTTTCTTGGTGGAACCATTTAGTTGCCTGAGAAACTTGACATTTTTAAGCACGAGTGGATTGAAAGGTGGTGATAATCATTTTGACCACTGAGATTCAGAAACAGCTCAGAACTACAGAATGCTCACAATAAATGCCAACCACTAAAATATCACCCCTGGTAACATATAATTGTCAAATTACTGGTATGACCAGTACTGTACTTAAAGTGCTACCACTTCACACATTACTAAGATTCAGATACCGTTTAACAGATAAGGAATGACCTCTTTAGATATGATGAACATAGCACTTATTGCGTAATGAAAGTTGTTTATGGATATGGGTAACATCTCACAGATTTAGTAACATTAAAAACTATCAACTTGGTAGAGAGCTAATGCTGCATGTTTCATCTCCGTTATCCAATTTGATGATGTTAAGCTGAGGCTCTATTGAATCATGGTTATATGAATGCAACGTTTTTCTCCATGTCAGCATGTTGCAACAACCTAATTATTCATGAGTATTATCTGTTATGATTTGGAAAACTAGCAAAAATGAGGTGGCAAGATTTGCCTCAAAGTAGGTAACTGGTGGAAGTCTCATAATAAATATTAACTAAAAAATCCAAGTAGATTGAAACTCGTTTGGGTCACCTCTTTTTCTTCAAGGGAACCTGTCATGCATCAGCATTTTGATAATATTAGTTTGCATGCTTCCATCTAATTAATTGGAAATATCTGCTAGAAATCAAATAGTAGGTGCCGTTGATGGCGGGAAAAACGACCATATGATAGGATACAACAAATCGAAGTAGTTTTTTGCTATCATATACGAAGATAGTTTGGATATTCGGATAGTTGACCTATTTCTTTCCTCGACTGAACATTTTAAGTCAGCAGGCTGCCACTGAGTTTGAAACCTATCACTCTGATCATCACTTGAGTGTTTCATCTAGTCAAATCCTTAGCCATAACTTGCTAACTACAACTACAGGGCCCATGTTATCCGGGTGTTTCCACGAAAGTCATAATATGCAGTATAGAACAAGTTATCTCTTCCCTGGCCAGCTACGACAGAATTCTTTATTATTATTTTCTACATACTAGTTATGACGTATACAGGATGAATAGTCCTGTCGTATGAAAGGCAACTCTTGGTTCCAATCCTGCCGACAGAAATGACTACTGCATGGGTCAAATTGAGTGACATTAATCCTTGCATGAAGGCCACTTCGGAAACTCGCAGGCGGTAGGCCTGACATACTTACTCTCAGCTGCTTAAGAAACGTTTGATGAGGTTCACAGGTTCCCACCGACTGCCATAAGTTTAATTCCCTTACGGCTTTGAATGTAGAAAGAGGTCATAGTAATCTTACTTGTGATAAAGATTCCTTAGTTAAGCTGCTAAAGTTTATCCTTTTTCGATGACTAGGTTTTTTGGGTGATAAGTAGAACAAAAGCAGAAATTAGAAAAGTATGTTCAAATTTTAAAATGTTCCACTCAGATAACCGAAATGAAACAAGAAGCATAGCAACTTCTACATAAATTTATTTTAGGTGTCTTAGAATTAAAATCAAAGGAATACATATTGCGTTACTTCTATTTGACAGATAATAATGTTTAAAGACACTGTTTTCCCAGGCGCCTTATTCGTATTTTATTACAATCGTGATTCTTTTCGGTTGTTGTAGACGTTTGAATTTAACTATCCCAGCAATTCAAGTAATCATTTAGTGCAAATGAACATCGCCTAAAAATTATCAAAAAGACTTTCCGCTTCTTCAGAGATGAAAATTGACAGAAAAAAGATAGTAAATAGATGTGGTTATGACCAGAATGAATGCATGTTGCTTGCTAAGCACTTGTCAGCATGTTCAGATGATGTGCTAATATCAGAATTAAAGCAGATAAATGTTTGGAACTATGGGAAGTGTGAACTCGGCCTCTGGGCCGATGTTTTAGATAGATTAGATGCAATTCTGGAAAATGCGGTGACAAAAACAGGGAAGTGGATGTTGCGTCTTGATACACCAGGGAACTCTTCTCTTGTCGATAAGGTTGTAACTATTTTGGAGTTTACGGGTCACTTGATTGAACACAGCATCTACCGTTACCTGTACGGCTCTTGGCCTCATATTCTTGCTCTGTTTGGTTCGTCTAATCTTGACGTTCTACTTGCTGTTCTTGGATTGTCCTACAACTTTAGGTAACTCTTGTTGATATTTTGTAAATATAAGTATAGCAAGCGGAGCAATTTCTTCATCAGGCTTGATTCCACGAATAAGCAGATGATTCTTGAACGTCTGGTCTCGATTGCTGAAGTAAGTACGAGTATTTTATAAACTCTGAATATTAGACTTGGGGTGGAGTGGAAAATGGATTTGGACTTGCAGAATGTTGTGACCCAAAGCATGTAAGTTTTCAAAGCATCTTATGTTTCTGTTAGTTCCCAGAGACTGCTGGAAATGTTTATTTCGAATACAGACCAGACCACGGTGGTCGGTCGTCAGCCCATCAAAATCCAGACGACCAATCGACATCTTCAAATACTTTGGGGACTATAGTCCTTCAGGCTCTCCACCGCAGAAACCAGTCACCATCAGAAATAATGGAAGAACTGTTGGCTCAACATCCAGTACCTGCATCTCGTCAAATGGCTCTTTTCTCCCGAGTTCGACTAGCAACGTACTTTTCAGAGCCTACGCAACGGCATAAGTGTATACGCGCTAGACTGCAAGCGCTATCTATTTTGTGTAAGCTCATGTATATTTCACATAAACTTCACATAGTTTGCATCATTAGCCGTTATTTCGTTCTTTATCTTTAATGTGAATGTTTACAATAACAGCACAGGATGTTAATAATCCAACATGAGTAGATTGAGATCTTCCTCTTAGGTAGTCCAGTACATCTCCCAAAACCGGTTCATTAAGATTATTCTCAAAAATGACTTTTCAAATTACTCTGTGGTGATCCCTAGGAGGTACTAATGCTTTTATCAATGTACAAAACCCCACTTAAATAAGCAGCGTATGATCGACCTCAAGCATATTTCTCATTGGACTCTCATCTTTCTTCCTCAAAGCTGGACATTCTCTTGTTGCTATTATTATTTTCCTCTTCTAATCTCTACTTAGGCGCTGACCAACTACAGCCCAGACGCAATTAAGGATGAGTTCTGTCGTCGACCACTTGTGTTCGATAGATGTCGTAGTACTGCCTGGAAACCTGTGTACAGGTTCAGCGTCTAGGACAAGAAGGCACTGGCTTAAGTAGTTATCGGGAGCTAAGTGGTCACAGGCCAGGTTACAGCTACTCCCTTCTTCAGCCTTGTGAAGGTCACAAGCTATCTGGAAGTAATACTGCCACCTTAGTGATGTGCTTCTCAGGGTCGTCCCTCTGTTATTTAAGTCTGGAGACAGTGATATAGCTCAAGATGGTTCTCAATGGCGCAGATGTATTCACTCTGTGATTTATAACATCCAATAAAATCTATTCAATTTCTATTCATTTCGCTTAATATTTCTGTTTATTTCCTCTCTTTATGCTCTCCTCTTGGTGTGTATGCTACATGGAGTGTGGCAACTTGAACTGCTGCACATCTGTGCAAAGTTTTACGCTGAAACCAGTCAGTCCATATTGCTATCGGCTACCGGTGGTGGGTACGCATACAGAGCCGCCGTTGCTTCCAAAGTAATTGTCTTGATTCCGATCATGCTGTAGGGAATGTGAGGTTTGTCTTGGGGTTTGGTGATCATAAATGTTGTCCTCAACAGGTTGACGTAAGCAGACTGGTATTACCTGCTGCTGTTGCCAAGTATCAAAGCGAAATTAAGACCAGCTACTACACCTTCGAGTGGTAAGGGTAATCACTAGCTGCACCTTCAAGATGATATCCCAGCTTTGTTGGCTTGGAAATAGCCCGCGGATTCCATTCCGGCTGCTCCCATACCGCTCACGGTTTGCTAGCTCTAAGACTAAGTGAAAGCCTTAGGAGTGGTTAGTCAATGATTCGTCACTGTGAGGTGAGAGAAATTTGTATTGGGTTAGCATTTCCCAGTTTGTATCCTAGAGATTATGCTACTCAACGGCTGGAAATGTTATCAGATGTGGCTCAGGAACAAAATTGATGAACAGCATGTTGCGATTTCTCCCTTTGTTTCTTTTTCTGAAAGTAGTGTGATGCAATGAACTCTCCTTTGCATATTCTTTATAAGTGTGCTTGTTTTCATGCTATCCATTTGTTATTCTGTTCTCTCCTTGTGTTGACGTTTTCATTTGTGTGTGGTACATCTCTTGGTACTTTTATTTATACCAACTTTACGTTTTGAACAAAATAAAACATTGCAGCCTTAGTCGTCCTAACGTTAAACCAGAAGTGTACTGATTTAATCTTCACTCCATTACTGGGTACGCAAGTTTCTACCGGTGATAATACCGTACATCTTGTTTGGAATATGCAATGTATGCTTGTGAAGGATATACTGAAGAAGTATGCAGTGCTAATCATGGTACACTCCTGTAACCAATGCAACCATGTTAGAGCTTATGAAATGTCATTTGAGGCTATGGCAACCATTGTTATCTATCAGGGATGCTTTATTTCACTATGCTCATCTAATTTAATTGCTTACAATTGTGGATGTGACGTAGACTTTGGCATCTAGAGAATTGACGTGCTGCCAGGGTGGAGACTTGCTAACTTAAATTACAGATGACGATGTTGTATCTTATCACTTGAGATGAGAACATGTTAGGACCTGGCGGTCACCTTGGAACATTGGCTTTGGTGGTGGAGTCATGTGCTCAATAGGCCTCGATACGACTTGCTGTCCACAAGTCCTGGGACTGAATGGAAAATACGGAGAGGTGGCCAGCCTATTACGTGGCACCGTGGCGTGAGGGGTAGCTACTAGGTTACCATCTGTTTGTACATAACTACTCCATAGATAAGGTTAGAGAAATCATTTGAATCGGTGGCTCGAGACGTTATCAGACATAACCAGAAATCGCAGTCAGTGTCGAACATACTGCAATATCCTTCTTTCTTCCCTTTCTGAAAATAATCTGAAGTGGTGAATGTCCAGTGATTTCAGAAAAATGCCTATTTGCTCTCTGGATGACCTCTCGTTTATTTTGTCCCTATCAGGTCATCAGCATACTTGACAAAAGTGTAGCAAGTCTGATTGTTCCAAACTAAATAGCTTGCTGTCGGAAATTAGTGAGTGGTCCTCTTCAAACGGTCTTAAGCTGAATCCGTTTAAATGTCAGGTAGTCAATTTCACTTTCAGACGAAAACGTGACCTACAACAACTAGCTAGCTCACATGGTCCCACTATCATTGACGGCATAGAGGTTGAAACTACATCTAATGTCAAATACCTTGAACTGAGTATTTCCTCCGATCTTTCCTGGTCCTCTCACATCTTGCTAGTTACTAGAAAGATGTTTCGCTTAACTTTCTACGTTAGGAAGTTAAGGCAGTCTGGTATAAAGCAGTCTTCGTTTTCTCAGTTTGTCAGTTCTTGTATTCTACCAATCCCTCTTTACTGCTCCCCATTAATCTTTCCTGGACTACTTAAGAGAGACTTTGCTTTGCTGCGTAGGGCACTAAAAGCTGTTAGTAGGGCAAGTGGGATTTCGTTAAACCAACTGGTTAACACCATTATGGATAGACATATAATGTCACGAATGAAACTAGCGAATACTATATTGTCAGACCCCGAGCATCCTCTCCATACGCAGCTCTCTCCTTGCATTTCATCTGGTAGGACTAGAAGCAACTATAGGAGGTTATATGCTAGGACTACCATGTACAAAAACTCCGCAATACCTTATCTGGCACAGCTGTTATGTGATGAGAAATCTGTTAGGTATGACACGATCAACTTACTGCGGCACTCTAACAAGTAGTTCCCATTAGCTTCTGTTCTCCTTTCTTTGTTACTATTATATTGTTGTTCACATATTCTATTACACACTAATTTTATATTTCATATCCTGTGGTGCATTGTTTAAAATGTGAATGCAATGCTGTTCTTTTTTATTTCTTTTATTTATCTTTTTTTCTTTTTGTTGTTGTTGCTTTTTATTTTGAAATCTTATAAAATTTATGAGGTAATTAGATGCAATATTGTAATGCACGCTGAAAATTCCATACCTGTACCACAAATACTGTTTGGAATAAAGCTATTATTATTATTTTCCTTATATGATGTTTCATTGTTTTTGTGTATCGTCTCTCTTGGTTTTGTTTTTAATAAGCAAATGTCTTCTAAACAAGCGAAAACGAGTATGGTTGATAGGTAGTTCATCCCTATCAAATGTAAAATATGGCTTGTCCACACCTGCTTCTATTTTAAGAATGAGTTTTTGAATGTTTTGATGACTTCATTGAAACTCTTAGAACTCATGACGCAGTAATTGTATTCAGCTACAGGCTTTTCTGTATGTTAGTTTCCTTTGTTTTTGAGTTTGGACGGTGTTCTAGCAGATTTTAACATAATGCTTCAGATACTTGAACTGAATTTCATACTTTCTTTTTTTTGTTTCAAAAGCATATACTTTCGAAGTCGACGAACGTTATCTGTATCCTAGCTTGTTAGATGAACTTGTTGAAGTACTTGGCTTACCAGATGGTCAGTATATGGGCATCAAAGCATGTGCTCTCCGAACATTGACTGCTATAGTTAATTCTCATCGATGGGGCATAAAGTAAGTTGAACTAGCAATTTAATTGTAAAAAATGTTCATGCCTCTAAACAGTAAAAGAAATTTTTATAGTCTTGATTCGCCATCATCATTCGTTATCTGTTAACTGTGGCGACTTTCAGAATGGAAATAGTTCAGCTGTATTAAAGTTTTGATTTAAATAGAATGACTAAATATCAGTAAAGGTTTATGCGACCCGCATGAGAGTGTAAATGAATAGCAACAGCTGACAGTCATGCACTTGGCGGTAATAATGTAGATTACGAAGTCTTGACTATAAGTACCAAGATCTACCGTATTTGTGAATTGCTACAAATTGCGACTTTTGATACCGACATGTAAGTGTAACAATGTTAGTAGAGGGAAACAAGAGCGAAAACAAAGTGGTCAGTATTGAGATATAGCGAAAATAGGAAATGTGGGTGAGTAAGAAAGATAAACGAGAATATTTTCAGAAGTAATTAGTCGAACAAACGTGAAACCTCACTGATTAATTTATTGAGTAAAGTGCTTTACGTCTTATATCTAATGTAGGGTTTTAAAAAGGAAGGTGAAAGTCTCAAAAGGGTGAAGTGGCAAAAGTCGTAGTACTTTAGTGTGTCCAAACTCTAGGGTCAACAAAATTAAATTCTTATTATCCCACTAACGAGTTATTTCCGATGTTCTTCTTCTTTTGATTTTCAGTTGGGGTTCGTTGGTTGGATCCACTGGATTATCCAGTTATCATGGTATTTTACCTAATCTGACTAGAAAATGGGTCCAAGGACTTGTAGATGGTTCTATTAAAGCTCCTGCTGGAAGTACAAATCAGCATTTCACAACTGCTTTATTGTCTTTCTTATATCATTTAGCTTGTTATGAAGAGAACGTGGGTCCAGGTAAATGCATTTATCTTATATATAATTATTGCCATTCGAAATTTAGGAAATACACAGAATGCACCGCTTAGCTCTAGTGGTGTCTTGGACACAATGATGCAGCTTATTTCCTGGCATTCACCACATAATGATTATTTAAGCTATGTCACCAGAGCTGTCCGTGTGACTGATCAAATCTTAATGAGTATTTCTTCAAGTCGTCAACATGTTGTTGGTATTTTGGTTGACAGACTGAGTTATGAAGTGGGAGTTGTTCTTCAAGGTGCATCAACGTCTGCAGATGTAAGTTATTTTAAAGCTACTTTTATTTTGAAAATGTCATACCTAAATAGTCTTCAGACTTATCCGTGAATATACGTGTTTATGATGATGTTCGTTTTGAATGGAAGTAACTCTGACATATGATCAGTTAGCTTATAACTTAATAGTTTGTGGATTTAAATTAAATCTTGATAAATTTACAAAATGGTGAAATGAGTTAAGGTTTGACGTAGGTGTCGATAGTAATATGTTTATTGAGTTGGTCAATAAAGCATTTCACTGTGGTCGTGTAAGTATATTATCAAATTTATGTTATAATGATGGTCGAAGAGCAATGATGCCTTTCATCTGAAGCATCCCTAACCCCACTACCACATAGATTCGCAAGTGTTGTCTATTTATAGTGTAAGGATTCGAATTCTATCCATTCATTTAGCATGAGTCTTACTTTATGTGACTACTGAGGGATTTTGCAGTATGAAAAATATTGAAGTAAGGCTTACAGTAGTAGGTAAAGAAGGGAATTCAATCGATCAGGTTGTAACGCTACATCGATTAAGACACGTGTTACACATGTTAGGCCACCAGCTTCACCATCGATCAGTGTTATCTGACATTGGATTGGGCTTGAAAATGTTGGGTGTTGTTAGGCGACAACACTCCATAAGGTATCTGAGTGTTGGTTTGAGCCAAGCTTTTAGGGAGGTGTAGATTACCTGGTGGGGATCCTCAGTAACCTGAGACTTTTAGGGGTAAGTCTCAAATTTCTTCTCAATGGTGCAGATGTATCAGTCTTTGTAATTTCCAATATCCACTAAACCCTCATGTTCTTCCATGTTATTGTTCTTTTTACCATACATTTCTGCTGAGTATAGTTCTCTTGAATTTCACTTCTTATTCCTACCTTTGTGTGCTACATGGAGTATGATAACTTGAAGTGCTACAATTTTGTGCTAAGTGTTTTGTTTAAATGCGATCAGTCATTTTTTATATTGCCATATAATAACGTTAGTATAATGTCACTTGAATACATTAAATGTAGCTTAATCCACTTTTTTTTCTTCTAAATCTTTCCATGTCGGTTTTTGTTTTGCCAAAAACAATGTTTATCCAACAGAAATCGGATCACTCTGATGGTGAACAACCTTTGAATACACAGCGTTCTGGGCTCATGAAATCTATACTCAATCTACTCAAACGTCTTTGCTTGGACTCAGAATGGGGTGAAGTGTTGCACTCAGTTATGGATGATAACCTTCCAAATGTTTTACGTCAGATTTTCCTTAATGGTTCCAGTCATTTTACTCCACATCTATCACTTTTTGCCATGGAAACAATTACTAACTATTTGTATACCTACCCATCTCGCATATCAGCTATGCAGGTAAATAAAGCTGTTTGCAGTTAGCTACTATTTGTTCAGAGTTTAAACTTCACAAATCGTTTATTGCACATTTTAAGTTTATTACTATGACTATTTGTTGCCTTCCAATGGGTCTGGTCAAATACTATTTTGCTGATCTTTATTTTAATTTTTTTCAATGCTTCATGAAGGCAGTTAAGGGCTAAATGATTGCCTAACTCTGTTTTCCAGGTCTCTGATACGCTTGAGGAAGTGATAGTTTATGGGAAAAAAAGAAAAAACAACATAATGCCAGTTTTTTCTTAAAAATGCTTTTGGTATAAACGTAGTCCTTATTCGAAGCCTAATCACCAATCACTTGCAATGAACGTTTGGTGATAATGACTAGTTTATTGCCATTAAAGGACTTTTCGGTTTCTTACAAAGCATTTTTGTCAACAGCATACAGTGTAGGTACTTGGTTATTTTAAAACAAATTTGGTACGTTATGGGCGCCAAGAGATTCACCAGACAAAATCCCATAGTTTGTGCGTGCGCTGGGATAGTACTACCACTACTACTACCCAGACTCCCAGATCAAAGCAGGTGGTTGTCTCAAGAGGCCCCCACCGAACCTTCGACTTGAAGTCTGATTGACAAGGGGGTGAAGCAGCGTTTCCCATGGTTACCGATGACCAAAACGTGTTCATATGCCATTCGGTTTTTATGGATTCTGTAACCTATCAGTTTGGAATCTGGGTTTTCCAGCTGTCCTAGGTAGACCTGCATGTCCTCGAACCCGGTTGTAAGTGCCAGCCAGACACTGGGATTCTCACTTTAACTTTCGTGAGGAACATCCTGAATGAAGGTAGTGAATAGAACTCGCCTGTCAGAGGCTATAAACGCTTGGCTTCATGAGAGCATTTCAAGGAAAAAAAACGGATTTTGTCCATCCTCAGCCGTGGTATCAGGTCGTTTCAGGGAATTCCCTTGGTTAACAGCTTGAGTTCACTTCAGGATGATTATTAGTTAGATAAAAGAATCTGTGTTTCACATGAAATGTCTCTGCTTTGCATTTAAATTACTATTGTTGCATGAATTGTTTTTACATACTCGTTATTGCCGAGAGTAACTATCCAAAAGCAAACTGATCAGATATGTTGATGAGTGCACACTCAAAACTTCATTAACAGTGTGTATGACAGAAGTGATTTTGAAGATCAGTAGCAATTTAGTGTGGTTTTCGTTGACTGTTGCATGTTTTTTGATTTTTGTCGTCTGACAATCTACCATCAACATTGTGGTAATGATAACTGCCCTTTCAGATGCTAATATGTATATAATAATACATAGCTGTATAGGGTAGTGATAAAGTAATGGGCTGGGTGATTTGTTATAGGTTTATGTGTCTTTAAAGCGAAAGTAGTCAGGAAAATAAACCACTTCTCCTTTGAGCATTCTCTTTTTACGCATCAAGTTGTATAACGGTATTCATGCATTGTCCCTACTGGACGCTGTTAGAAATCCGTTGCCCGGAACAGATGTTTCAGATACCGGACTAAGCGTAGCACTTACTGTGTGTGTATGTGTGTTGCGTTGACTGAAGTAGTTGAGTTAGGAGTGTTTAAACCCCAGGACCCAGTGGTTGAAAGTTAAGTTCTTAAGTGAATGAGTCATATCCCTATATTGGATAAGCATGCACTTTTAGATTAGTATTGAATATTTTTGATTCTTAATGTGTTCTTCCAATGGAAGAAAGTAAGAGGTTCCTCGGGTACACTCTGTCAAACTTGACGAAGTGAATCCGAATTTAATGAGGCATGATTAAACAACGTGGTTATATCAGCACCAATGGATTGATTGGTGACGAAATCTCAGCAAGGATCCAAAAAGCTCGGGCTGCTTTCGCTAACTTACACCGTCTCTGGCGTAGGCGTGACACTCGCTTATCAACCAAGGGACGTGTGTACTGCTCAGCAGTTCGCTCCGTCCTTCTCTATGGCTCTGAAACATGGCCAATACGAGCTGAAGACATGAAAAGGTTGACTGCTTTTGATCATAGATGTCTACGATCTCTTTCTCACGTTAGGTGGTATAATAAGGTAAGTAATGTTCACGTTAGGGCAAAGAGGGAAAATCAATCGAAGAGGTTATAAAGTTACATAGATTGAGATGGCTAGGTCACGTGCTGCGCATGCCTAACCATCGCCTCCCCCGACGGACGGGCATTACTAGCTGATATAGGTGCAGGTTGGAAAAGAGTAAGTGGTGGCCAAACAAAAACATGGCATCAATCCATGAAATCCTTGACAGTTAAACTGAGTCAGGTAGGGAGATGCAGACTTCCGGGTTGGGGCCCGCCCTCGGGACTCTAAGAATCAATGGCTGGAGACAGAAGGTGACATGGCTCAAAATCGTTGTCAATGGCTTACGCAGATGTACTCAGTCTCTGTAATCTTTCATATTCCTTTCCACCATTACTCATTCTGTTTTACTCTTGTACTTGTCAAAACTCTATTGATTCTCTTCACTCATTTTCTTGTCCAGCTTTGTATGCTCTTTGGAACGTGGCAACTAGAACTGGCTGCACTTCGGTGCCAAGTTCTATGTTGAATCCAGCCAGTTATAAATATTCTTTATGGGATTGCTAGTTTTCTACTTGCTAGTGCTAAAACACGTTTGTGCTCGTGTAGTTTATTTTATCTGTCTCCTGTCCTTAGTTCCTAAAATCAGTTATTCATGAGATTTATCTTTTCGACCGATAGTTCTCAAAATGGTGCTCATAAATCTGTAGTATTGATAACATCTTTATTTAAGCTAAATGCAAGCTTCAGTGTAAGCTTCTTATGTATTTTACATTGTAAACTGCAAAACATGTGATTCACATAATCAATTATCATTTATATGTATATATCAGTAGTGCTTTCAGCTTGTTTCTGATATACTGGGATAGATATTAGGCTAACTGACTACTTTATGAGCACTTCAGTAGTTAAAAATCAATAGATAAGTTTGTATTTCATTATGCATATTTGTCATGTGGGTGTTTATAGCTCAATTATTATTGTGTTGAGCTAAAAGTACTTCATCCTTCTTGAGTACTTTTTTCCTAAAATTCAGACTAATTACTGTCTGCCTATAGTTGATTGATTAGCCTTAACAAGGCAAGAGTAGAACTAACACTATAAAGTGCCAGTAATATCATCGAATAATGCAAAGATTTACTCTTCACAATTAGAATTGCACGCTTTCTGATGATTCTTGATTCAAATATATATATATATCATGATGTGGCCCTTAGCCCCCCACCCATGTGTTCCGGCTTCGGTGTCAGGTCGATACACCCTCTAAAACTCATCTAACTGGTAGTAAGCGAGGCAAAGGGGGGGGGGGGGGAAGGTTGGATATGTGACTAGCAACTCCATTGCGTTGAAGAAAAACCCATCACTGTTAACGAAACCTGAAGTTCTTCGTTCCACTCAGAATGCAAAGGAATGCAACAAACAGTCTGTACTATGGTTAACCAAGACAAATAAACAAACTCTTTGCATTCATCACAACAGCAATCATCTTTAATACTATCAACACTATATTCAAGAGGCCAGAAGTTTCTGTACATTATCGATTATGTTGAACGTAGTGTCATTCTGAATATTTCCATTTTTGGAGCTGAAATCATCCTATCGACAAATATAGACACATATACTAGTACTTTCAGCATGTGTGTGTTGGCCTTCTAGTTCTTCAATAGTAATAATGATGATATAATTGTCTTGTTATCGATATATATTGGGGATAGGTAGATCGTAAAGGTAGTGGTGGTGGAATAAGCAGAATAACAGCAAGTCAGGAGACTTAACGGTTCGCTACTTTATTTATCGATCTAACACATTCATTACACATGTGACTCGCTAGGCCTCTCACTCACTATGTGTTCTGTTTGTTGTTGCCTGTCGCTTTTCTCATACTTAAAACATAAGTAGATATGATGAGTAGTGGTAGTTCTTATATCATCACATGATTTGTATGATATTGTGTATTATATATATGTATATATATGCATATATATGAAGATAAACAGCATCGTCTTTGTTATTGTTGTCCTTGGTTGATGCTGTCCTACATACTAATGGTTGATTAATACGAAACCGGTGTGTGTGTACGTGTGTATGTTCATGTGGGACATGCACACTTTGTGAACTAGTAGTAGATGTCTAAATAAAGCATCATGTGTTCTACTCAAATGGGAGGAGAATAAGCAATTTCTCGATGTCTCTATGTGTGTATGTATGTATGTGTGGTAGTTAAATACTACTTCATTATAAAACTAAAAATAATATAACTCGTCTACCACTCATCAGTTGGGAATTCCATGCATTATGTTAGAGAATAATAGAGGGCGCAGTCATAAGTCATAAGTGGTCTAGACGAATGATTGTTTTGTTTAAAAAAAGGTATTCACATGTGCTTTTGAAAGCTTAAATTAAACATTGATTTGAGACAACCAGGTTTCATAAAATGACAGAGTTAGCGACTGCAAAGTATCATTTATTATAGTCGCGTAGTTTATGTGTACTACGCGACTATAATGAATATGTACTACTCCTGTACCCATACTGAAGAAAGCAGTTGACTGTCTTATGAAGCCGTTTCCAAGCCTTTGACTTTTAATTCCAATGTACACGGCAGTAGAACTGCTTACTTTCTCGTAGTTTCCTGTGTCCAAAGCTAGCTTATACTACACCATTCGATGTGTTCAGATTCTGGAGCCTATGTACACCATGTGTTTGAAATCAGGGTTTTATAGCTCCCTTAGTCAGACTTGCTTGTCCACCAATCTGGTTGGAAGTGCCCGAGGTTTAGATTCACCATTTCACTTGTGAGTAGGACTTACGTGTCAGAGGCTATGAACGCTTGGCCTCATGAGAGCATTTTGATAGGAATACGCAAGTGCTCCCATAGTCGGCAGTACCAAGCTGTTTATGAGATCGCACATTGTTATTAGGCCATGCACATCGTATTCTTACTTATAATCTACTTGATGCAAAAGAAATTTAACTCGTACCTGGATTCTTTATGCCTAAGATACGTCACTGTGAGTATTCTTTGGTGACTAGATTGTTTTTTTGTCTCGTAACCTACGTATTAAATAAGCGGCTATCCATGACTGTCACTTGTTAACTGGTTCTGAAGTGAATTTTCAAGATTTCAACTGTACTTCTGTTTGATTGTATCATTAAACAAAAAAGTGCTTGCTAGTGATTTGTTGTTGATACAAGTATCTAAAGTCTTTTTTTCCTCTCAACCTCTAGGATAAAAATATTACAACAGATATTTTGAAAGCTCTAACGGAACAACCACTGCCGCAAAATCGTGATTTTCTTGTACAATTACCGGCACTATTAAATACTTTGGCATTGAATTCTCGTGGTATTGAAGCAATTCTATCAAGTGGTGTAATTGGTCGTTATCTGAACACTTTAGTTTCACCAGAATATTTGTCAACAATGAAAACTAAGCGTGTTCGCGATTTTATGTCACAAATACCGTATGATATGCATTGCAGCATGGGACAGAATTTGTCAAACAGTTTGACAGCTAGTCAAATGAGTAATGCTGTTCATGAATTACTTCGATCGCATGCAGAATTGAAACCTGTTGTTTCTAAATATGCAATTTCGGTAAGTGATAGTTTAAATATTTGTCTCATATATATATGTATGTATAAACTTGAATTGACTTTTCTAACAAGTAATCTGATCCTTTATATTCATTTCATAATTGTCTGTGAGTTTTTGTGGTGAGCCGATTCTGTTGGGTGTAGTTGCTTTAAATTGGGGGGAACAAAAACCTCTAATTACCATCTGTCATATCCTCTGAGCATTGTTGATTGATTAAGCACGAATAATATCTACTTATACAGAAGGTATATGAGGAAAGGGGATTACCGATTGGATTTGTTGCAAAATTTGGCGCGGAATAATGCTGCTGTCCATCCCCAAGCGAAATATCAGTTAGTATCATCCGGGAAAAACTATAAGATGCTGTCAAGACGAAACGCCTCCCAGGACAAGCTAGATTTAAGGGAATCAAAAAGTCTGCAGATCAAATTGCAACACTGTACATCATGATAGACCAGAGTATAGAATGGCAGTCAATTCTACCTCGACTTCATTGTCTCTGAAAAGGCTTTCGATACGGTTAGTGGTGAAATAATTTGGAAGCTACTTCAACACCACACAGTGCCCAATATCTTATTAACAGCTAAGTGATGACATCACATATCAATCGATTCACAACAGAAGGTTTAGCAAAGCCTTTGAAATGTGGACATGAGTAAGAAAAGGCTGCATACTATCACTGACGATGACCTTTCTGATTGTAGTGGAATGGATCATGCAACAGACCGTACATGGGGAGATAAGCATCAATTAGCATCAACAGGGGAAATATGAATGAAGTCATGTCTTTCACTTATCTGACTAGTGCAACGTCGTTTGAAATACGGCTAGCACTTATGAGGATGTCAAAGGCAATTAGTATGAGGACAACAAGACAGGCATTTACTACTTTGTAGTAGATGTCGGCGTCGGTGGCATAGCGGTTAGTACGCTCGCCGACCATGCACATGGTCCGGGGTTCGATCCCCGGCCGACGCACTCCTTTACCTCGCTAAGCCAGAAATAATGCTGGGGTAGAGGAAAGGTTAGGCATGAGGCTAGCAACCCCATCCTGTAAAATAAACACTGCCACAGAAACTTCAAGTCACTAGCTTGAAGCCCTATGTTCCACTGGGGAACGTGAAGGAAAAATATATAACAAATATATAGTAAATGTGAATATCTATTGCTTCAGAGATGTGACGTGCCCGTCATCAAAAACACTTCCAACAACCAGCTACAGATTCTCTTAATTAGTTCATTCCGCTGCATACTGGTGGTCAGGTGGTCAAAAAGGATGAGTAACAAAGAATTCTGGCAACCAACCAACCAAGGAAGAAATGGAGATAGATTGGGCATGCTCTGAAGAGACCATTCAGTTAAGTCACTCTCTAGACCTTGAAGGGCAAAGTGCATAGGAAATGGCGATTTGGGTGTGGGTTCGCGAACGATATAGAAGAGGTCGTGTGAAGAAAAAAAAGGAAAGCTTGTAGGCCATCGTAGATCCTGCTGGAAGGGACTGCTGTAAACAGAGTGAATTCAAGATGTGTTGTTCCCATTTGGTGGAAATAGTTATATCCAGCTGGTCATACAGATATTTTCGAAGCTTTTTCTTAAGGTAATCAGAGTTTATCATCACAGGTACTGTCACTTTACTATGCTATTCATATTTCCACTGAATAGCTTTTGTTCGTTTCACGTGTACGAGTGAAAAAACTGATAACGAATTAAACACAGCTATTGGATAACATTTCATTTGATTGAATCCCATTTTGTTTTATTTGCTTATTTTCTTTCAGTGTCTACGTCATGTTGTGAATCTTGGCAAAACACCAGCAACATTAATATCTGAAAGTATGTCATGTGGTGGTCCTAGTCATTTAAGCTTAGTGTCAGATTCCACACGAAGTGCTGATGGCTCCTGTTGGCCTATGTCAACAGCTGATGCCAGTGAACCACAACATTCGGAACAGAGGTCTTCAGCGAGTACTAGTCAGCCGCCTAGCACAGATGCTCCTTTAAGTTTGAGTAGTATCCAGCGTTCTCTTGCTGCGGCCGAAGATGATGCAGTTATGCTGTCCGGCGGTGAAGATGACGATGATGACTACAACAGTGATAGTGATGTTAATCAAGATAGGCAAACGAATACTCGTTCTGCTACTGTACAAGCTGGAAGCATTGCCTCCGATAGCGTGATACCCATGGTCAGTTTAGAAACGTCTGTCGATTGTAGAAGAGTGTCAGTCACAGAAGACACCTCTAACAAAAGTCGTACAGAATGTCTCCCTGTATCACCAAACATGTTTTTATCAGACTATATGCTAAATATGGTGAGTATTCCAGGTTTTTTTTAAGGAAAAGGTGTATATTACTTAATTTTATGTTACAGTTATCTATCCTGCTGAAAGTGTTGTTCCTTTGAAATGTTCTAAATAACTAAAATTGATTTGCCCAATGATTACGTGATGACTTACTTACACGCAGCATACTCCCAGGCTAGTTAATTTGGAGTTATGCTTTATATATGCTTATAAGGTATCATTGTTACCAGTAATTGCCTTTAGACCGCTGTTTCTGGTCCTAGTTTGAGTTTCAACATGTGAATCAGTTCGATTTGCCACACTCCATGTAGTACACGAAGCAAGAGAGGACAGTAAAAAGAGAATCAAGAGAGGGAGAGATAAATAGGATAATGAGGCGAAAATAATAGTAATATGGAAGAACAATAGAATTTTATTGGATATTATAAATCGTTAAGAGTGAATGCATCCGCGCCAGCCATTGAAAACAAGGATTTTAAACCATATCACCGAATGTCTCCAGCCACTGGCTTATACCTTCCCCTAAGACCCCAACTAGAATAGCTCTTTTCCAGCCTGATCTTATGACAGCCAACATTGTCCGTCGAGCGAGGTGATCGCTAGTTTGGGACTCTTCATCTACTAACAGCTTTAACTGTATTATCAGTTGAACCCATCACCTTGAGGTGGTTACGAGCTGAGCAGAGCTAGTTGGCTATTCAGCCACTGAAACGGAATCCAGTGTTCCATGTATTCTGCCTTGTAGATCAGCAATGCTAGTTAACTGTCCAGAAGTCGGTGTGTAGCGTGCGGAGTTCAGGCGTGCTATCAACTAACCTATAGTTGAATGCCTGAACCAACAAGCCATTGTTCTTCATATAAGTTACTTACAAGTAAACTAAAAGTTAAAGGCATAGTCTACAGTGTTTAGCGTATGTTATTCTTTTGCTATGCCTTCACTTTATGTATGAAATCTACATAAATTCAGCATTTCTTACTTAGAGATGTGCCCAATTATCATCAGACAAACTGATTTTCATGTTGTGATGGTTGTTTCTCTTCGGGAATACACAATATCAAAGTAGTTTCACCTTAATGCAGTAAAGTCAGTCATATTCATGCTAGGTCTTCATTTCTTTTATTTAGTACTTAGTAACAAGCACATTTTGAATACTTGTCAGAACTCCTCTTTAACATATGTATCCCTTTGTTAGGTGAAACTGTAGAGTAGATACCTTTACATATTAGGTGTGAATAACTAAACAATAAAAATCAACCGAGATTTGCTACTCTTTATATGAGTCAGAAGAAAAATCAGATTCTTCTCTTCTGCATACTGTTAATATTGGAAATCTCATGTAGTCATGTAAACCACTGTCCTTATTCAATTGCTAGCATACTACTATTTAGCCTATGTATATTCACAATGTGGTCTGCGCGTATGCTTCAAAAAGAATTTTATTGCTGTTATTTTAATTCTAGTGTAAATTTCTTGAGAAGCCGTTAGTATTCGTATCACACACTACACAGACAATGTGTCCACAGTTTGTTAGTCAAGGTGGCCTACAAGTCCTCTGTGATCTACTGCGTATGCCTGGCCTACCGTACGATTTTCCAGTTTCTGCAACTTGTGCTTCGTTGTGCAAAATTTTTGAAGATTTGGCAAATTCTGTAGATTTAAATGAGGTGACAAAACCGTTATTTCAAGTAAGTGTGCAGTTTTCTTTTTGAAAAAAATCTGATATTATGTCACTTAACCTTTAATTAACCCTTTCGAAAATCTTTTTGTAGATTAACTTTTCATATTCAATAGGAGAGAAGTTAGTGGCTTATCGCTTTGAGCACCCCACCTACGGTCAATTAATCTCAGGATCGAATCACGCCTGAACAGTTAGCCAGTGACATTACAAATCAAGTGTAACTCACAATCGAATATAATTTCCAGCTAGTTAACTAATCAACGTCAATATGATATGCCGGGCAAGTTAACCATAGATACATTAGTAGTGAATACATTCTGAGTTAATGATGCCGATTCGAACGATGTGTGTGTGTGTGTGAGGAGTGAAGGGATAAGTTTTCTCAATATGCTGTTCATAGGACCCAAGAGACACGGGATGTGTAAGTTCAAAAGACGTTGCTATTTTACTGTACTCCAAAGCCTAACATCAAATTACTGTGTATTTGACTGGACCCAGCATAAAATAGTATACCATCCCCTCTCACGAATCGTGTGATTTCTCATGTGATGGGTTACTATGTCGATGTATCATTTCCCACGCATATTGTGATTTAGCGTGTGACCAATTCATCTTCTTTCGCCTCACCGTGATCTTTGTGTGATCACCAGCCAATAAGAACAATACATTCTCACGGTAGTGAGCCGACTTTATTATGGTTAAGAAAATGTATAATGTGGTGTTTCTTAAACCATATAATGTAGTACAGTATCCCACAGCCACAGACCAGCCTTTGTCTTTTGATGTTTGCGTGGCTCAGTGAATGGGAAGGCACAACGGACAAATAGATGTATTAGCGTATCAGTCGAGTTCTTTACCGTTACAGTAATTAACAGGCGCAGGCATAACAAAGTAGCGACCGTTTATTCAGTTCAGTTATAACAAATTGCCAACGGAGTTATAACAAGTTTAATTGGAGGATGGTGACTACCAGTGCAATCCAGGATGCGCATTTCGTCCTATTTGAGACTCGCCAGCTACTAGTCACCATCCATCAATTAACTTCTAATTACATGCCCAGAAATCGTCGAAGCATCAGCGCAAGAAGCCGACATGTCAACCTGAGACCAAGCACTTCGCTCCAATCAATCGACGGGAAAATCTAAAATTGATTTAAATAAAGGAGTTGTAACAGTATTACAATGCACAACACTTCAAGCATCTGTTGATTTCATCACCTCTGTTTGATAAATTTTGAACAAATTAGTTTGAAGTAGACACTTACTTCGGTGACCATCAAGCGATCGATTCTCAGAGTTTATCTTTGAGATGGTGAGATATTTTCTTTATTGCGGAATTTGACAAATCATCATGTGGTTTTGAAGAATGGACTTAGATTTATGGTGAAAAGAAAATTAGTCGACTTCCAACCAACATGTGCTTCATGGGTGTTCGAACCCTGTTCTAGGCACACTGAGCCAGTACAACCAGCTCTCGTTTCCAATGAGATGGGATTGCAAGTGCATGTTAAGTGCGATTGGCTGACTGAGATTATTGCAAATACATATTCGATAGTGAAATTTTATAAGATAATCTTGGATAAGCAGTCAGTTATCTACATAATGGAAGGGTAAAAACGATAAACTGAGTCGCCGTATAAATCAAACCATGTTTACCCCGAGTTACTAATCTTAGTGTTCTACACCAGCTGAGCTACGGGACCCAGGTTATCAATTTAATGCAATTGTTACGAGTAGTACTCACTTGTCGTGTTTTTATTGCTCTCCTATCACTTCACACACTATTTCATCAATATTTTGCTTTTAAAATTTTGTTCATCAGTGTTTAGAGTCGTCAATGGAGAAATTGTGTTCACTACACACCTCCAATTATCCGATGACTTCCATACTTCTACGTGAATATCTATCTGGGGAACACGAAATGCTCCACGAGTTGGTGATATTAGCTTCTGTAATCTGCATTCTAGTACAAATGATACAGCATATTAAACCTGTGTTCCACACATCGTTAGCTTCTGTATGGTTACAACAGAATTGTTTATACACATTAGGGTAAGTTTCTAAAGAGAGGATAAAGGTTATTTCTTTGTATTATTATTATTATTGTTTCCTTGCCACATGAGTGACAAATAGGGCTTCAGTGGCGATCGGTTCCCTACCATCCCACTCAACTGTCTTCACGATTGTCCACACGCTTTCATTTCTCCCTTCATATGATCTTCACGTCACCCTTAGATGCCCAAGGCGTTGCTTCATCCCACTTGATGCCTCAGTGTATCTTGTCTCTCGAACATCCAATTTTCCTAAGTAAAAACCTTATCACTACTGTAACTTCAAAGTAAGATAAAGAATCTTGTAGGAAATGGTCTGGTCATGTATGATTTTTATTTCGCGACAAAACTTCGCCTCACCTGAGCATATTTACTGGTTGCGTACAAAAATCATCCTCTTACAAGAATTCAGATTCACAATCTGCTTGCCAGCCAGCCATAATGGAGGTTCCGGTTGGATTCCCGGCCGTTGTAATCGTAACCCGTGCGTTTTTTTTATTCCTTTACGTTCCCATTCGAACATAGGGCTTCAGTCTAGAGCTTTAGAGTTTCGGTAGCAGTGGTATCTATTTTTACGGGATGGGGTCGCTAGCGCCATACCCAACCTTTCCTCTTCACCAGTCCTAATATTGGCTTAGCGAGGTAAAGGAATGCGTCTCTGGACGGGGATCGAACCCTGGACCACCTGTGGCGTGGTTATCGAGCATCCTATCGCTATGGCACCGACGCACACACACAAGTGCTTAGCTCGAGTCCTCTCTATGTCTAGGCGGTATGCATCCTGGAAAAGTGGAAAGGTTGAGCGTTAGGTTGGCAGCATCCAACTTCTACTGAAAAATCCAAGTTTGAAACCCTATGTCCTACTAGAAAGGAACTCGAGAAATCCAAGAAAGCGTGATTTTGTATTGAACTTCAAACTATGCTACTGACTTATTACCAGTTGACAAGTTTTTTCTGTAATTCTGTCTTGTATGCATCAACTATAGTAAATATTGATTCATTGTTTTCTGTGTGTGATGAGTGTTCACAATTGAAGTAAAGTGCATTTTGAATCATTTTTAAAAAAAATATCAGAATCAACTGACTTGTAATAAATTTCCCACCCACTTTAGTTTTTTAAACTAAAAATTGATTTCAACTCATCAATTGAGTGAAATTGACATGAATAAATTGACATTAAAAGATTTACACAACTAAATAATTTGCATATTAGGCAATGAATTTATCACAAATAACAAGTCTTCGTTGTTAAAATATGCTCTTAATGTCAAATTGATTGTGTCAGCCTAGTTAAACTGACTAGTTAATTTTGATCGATAAGATAAACTACGCTGGACTGGTACTAATTGATTGATTTATCGATCTCACCAGTGTTGTTATTGTTTGCCTGAGTGATTGCTACTCAGGTAAAAAAATGAATTACTCATATATATGTACACACACAAGCTCCCACTGAAACTGACATCTGAATACCGACAACCATTCATCATATTTGATTTATCATAAAGACCCTTTATTTTCGACAAAGTTTCATTTCTACACAAAATAATGACAAACTATAAACAAAAGGTCGTTTAAAAGGTCACCAGGTATCCAACGAATTCTTCCGAAATTCATGTGAAGCTGCGTCTGTCGCGCCCCCCTCCCCATCGGTAGCTCTGAATTTTCTCCATCACCCCTTCTTTTTCTTTGTTCTTTCGCATCCTGAGAGAAAGATAGGCCTTCAAGCTTTGAATTTTCGTTAGCGCAGATGTTGCTTTTATAGGGTGGGGGGGAATTGCTAACGCCTCTCTCAACCGTCCCTCTTTTCCGGCTTTACCGGCAAACTAGTAAACTAGGCAGGGATTAAAGTTCTGTCGACCAGGAGATGAACCCGTAAAGTTCAACAGGTCTGCCAGGTCACTTGGACCTCCTGAGTCCGATTCCAAATGAAACCATATGTGTGTAATGATGAAGAGCCATGAGCCAGGACGAAACAGTGCGTTTTTGAAATCTTCAAAAGCAAGTTTTTTTCATTTCTTTGGATTTGGAGAGAAACATAGCGCTTCAAGCCTAAGCTTTGCTGTTTCTGTAGCAGTGGTGTTTTTACGGTGTGGAGTTGTTAGTCTCCCATCCAACGTTTCCTATTTACCGGGCTTATTACCGACTAAGTGAAGTTCACGAGTGCGCGAGCCTGGAATTGAATCCCGGATCACATGCATGGTGGGTAAACAGTCTATCACTGAACCACTGACTCATTAAAAGTAATACGTATATGTGAATGAATTACGAATTAATGCGATGCCTATTTCTTTTTAGGTTTGTTAATGTATACAGCTAAGTTGTCATACTTATCCTTTCAGTGGGATCGCTTCATCAGTTAAAATGTACTAGGATTGTGATGTGTAACCAATAGCCATTCGGTTCATTTCTATGCCCGTCTGTTTACTTATTTGTGTAATCTATTACAGTATGTGTTATATATTTCAGTAGTTGACCCCTTCTATAACTTATACTACAGTTACCCACAAATATTTATTTATCAAATCAATACATGATCACATATCATTGTAATCTGTAGGTATTTTGAAGAACATTCATACTATGTAATATGAGTATCTGTTTTCTCTTTTTGTTGAATGATTTCTAGGCACCTATATTTAGGAGTATCTTGGGAAGCTGCCATCATTTTAAAAGTTCTGTTTGGTGATAAAGATATTAATGAATCTGATTTGTTGCCAAGTGAAACAAAAACATCTCAAATGTATAAACCTCAGCAACATCCAAATCCTAGCATGTTGAACAAACCACCCATCGAACCAATGCCTCGGTTTGTTGAAGCCTTGCATATGTATTCACTGATCAAACAGTCGGTTTTGCCTACTACCGACTATCAATCAACGTTTATATACAAACATCCAGGTTGGTTATTTTTTCTTTTTCTTTGATCATTGAAGTTACATACACAAATGTTTCATCATTATTGCACAATTTTTCTTAGCAAATTTGGATGTATTTTAATTTTATCTTTTTCTTTCTTTTGAAAAAAACTATTTACGTTTTTAGACCTTGTCAAGCCACTCAATCGGATATTACACGTGACAGCGTTTCTTGTGAACTCTGTTACAGAATTATTCACCGCTTTAGGCAGATTCTTTTCAAATCGTCCACAGGTCAACTATAGACGTCGGCGAACTTCACTATTTTCAAATGATTCAATCCACCCTGAGATGAGATTGCCGGCTTTAATTCAAGTAGCCGATATTCTTTCGCATGCATACACCTGGGAACCGGCGTCAACGAGTCGTAGTCATAAAGCCGCCGCATCATTAAATTATGCTATTCGTTATGCATCGATTCAGTTGACTAATCTATTGTTACATGATTCTAGTCAAAGAGATTCTGACTTGGGGATGATTAATGCCTTCTATAAGCTGAATGGAATAAATCTTTATTTTGGGTAAGTTATTTCTGCGTCATTATAAATTAACAGACATGAGATATAACTTCTAAGTGTTAGTTAAGTAAATATAGAGCTTTTGACTTGTAACAACAAATGAGTTTTGGTGTGTTATCCTCACTTCATTAACTTCAGCGTTAATACTTGCTTATATGTGTATATCAGGGCTTTTATTCTACTACAGCAATAGCCTGTATCGCCTAAAGAGGTTCCTTGTTTTGTGTGGGACCAATTGTTGGTGTTCTCTTGGAAGTCAGTATCATGGAGGTCCCTGATATTTGTAACTACCAAAGTTACCTCGCAATAATAAAGTATCAGATATTACGTGATTGAATGTCGAGGTTATTTCCAGTTTGATGAAGATTGCTAGTGTTTACTTTCATGTGCATCCATGATGCTTCCTAAGAACTGAAGGGATTCTTCAAATGTGCATGAAGTACACTGGGGTATGAGTGTTCGGTAGGTGTTGGTGGGACAATACAAACTTCTGCAATTGCACTTCATTTTCTAAATAATTTCCAGTGAATTGTGTAAGCTTTCGATTCATATTTAGCTGGATACATTGATCGTTTACCAATTCTGCTATTGCTTGAATGTTAGCGTGAGAAATTCCATATGTTCTGGAGAATACTGGTCGTCATATGTCTAGTGGTAGCTATCTTTGAATGCTTAGCATGCGATTCGCTCCTGTCAAATGTGAGATGATGCTACTAGACTGGACTAAGTCGATTCCTTGCTTAGAAATAGGGAGTGAAGTTGTAGCAGCGTGTTGACCACTTCACTTATTTGAGTGGAAGTTGCATCAGCCAACGCCAGCTGGTTGATCACTGACGAAATCTCACCACGGATATAGATGGTTCGTTTGGCATATGCTAACAGACACCATCTCTGGATTAGACGTGGTATCCAGCTGACTGTTGACCAAAGGGCGTGTGTACTGCTCAGCAGTCCACTCCGTACTCCTTCACGGCTGTGAGTGAGACATGGCCATTGAAAGTGTAAGACATGAAAAGCCTGGCTAGCTGTCTCCGATCATTGGTGCCTGCGTTCTATCTCCCGTGTGAAGTGGTATAATAGGGTGAGCAATATCGAGGTTAAGCGTCGAGTTTTAAGTGAGGAAGGGAAATTGATCGAAGAGGTTGTGAAGTTACATCGATTGAGATTGTTAGGACATGTGTTACGTACGGCCTAAGCATCGCCTTCCTCAATGGGCAATGTTAGCTGACATAGGATCAGTTTGGAAAGGAGCCAGTGATGGTCAAACCGAAACATGGCTTGATCAGTCAATGAAATCCACAACAGTTAGTTTAAGCCAACCACGTAGGGAGGTGCAGACTTCCTGGTTGGGGTCCTCGGGACTGTAAACACCAATGGCTGGAGAGAATTGGTGATATGGCTCAAAATCCTCGTTCTCAACGGCTAGAGCAGATACATTCACTATTTGTGATTTATAATATCAAATAACAATTCTATTATTCTTCCATATTACTATTGTTTTTCCCTCACACTTCTGTTTATTATCATCAGATTTACGTCACTAGATGCATTTGCATGCTTCACAGTTTGCGGAACAAGTTCGTATGCTGTCTGTTAGTTTCAGATCTTGGTTCACCCGAGTTACCATAAGTTTGAATCGCAATTTTTGTACCTTCCTAGATTAGTTATGCGTGTCCAGAGGTTTGGCAATGAGCATGAGACATATTCTCATTTTCACTACCACTGGGCAATTCACCTAAAGAGGGATAATGTGATCACTCAAGTTTCTTAGCGATTGTAATGTGTCCGTTTAAAGTTTTGAGAGGAATTTCCATTTGTACTATACTGTAACAACAGAAGACAAGGGCCAGGCAACAGATCGTTTATTAACGAAAATCAACACATATTTATAGATTTTGATGTACATTATTGTAAATTATTATTAGTAGAAAATACAGCCTTTTGATTGGTTGTTTCTCACAGAAAGTTAACCGTGCATCTCTTTGTGGCTGTCAGATCATCCATATGTTAACTGTATTCGCCTACGCAAAGCCTTTGTTCTCATTTTCTCACCACCAATATTGGGGCATAAACATTGACGTCAATTACTATCTACCAACTTTGGCTAGCAGCCAGCTCTCACCACAATACTACTAAAATTGCAATGCTTTCAATTTCCTGTCGTGTTACTACATATGTCTTATGTGTCGCTTCTTTACGTTTTATTACAGATTATTCCGTCAACTGATTAGTTTTGATTTGGATGATCCGTCGATTCGAAGTTAGTTGGTTTTTAAAAAATTTTGATATGATCAGCTTTATGATTTGTTTGTCAGTGTGTTTACCCGTTTAAAGCTTCGGCACATTCATCTAGACAGTCGTTAATACAAGTGAAAAACCATGCTTAATTTGGACTGAAATTAACTGACATTATTGCTTGGCAACTCAGTACATTGAAATATATATGTGTCCGAATTCTAGTTCGCTCATAATTCTCTGTATTTTGAATGAATTAGCGACATGCCTCTTACAGTCAGGCCTTTATTCATTGACCTAAGTATATTGTATACAGTTATCACCTTATCTAGGCCTTTTTGATTGTCGAGACGTCTAGACTAACTAGGCTTGTAATTAAGTTTCTACACTAGTCAAATTGTGTAGTTTTTTTCAATTAGGACAATTTCCTCCCATCCTAGCAGTCAACATGACATATTGACTAACATTTGACTAGTGTTTCATTGATCACAAGATTCCCTTTCATTTCTGTTATCCGTGTTTTGAAAAATAATCATCTAAATTTCAAGTTTGATTGTGAACTGGCATAACTTGGAGAAGCAGTGAAAATTAGGGGGTAGTGAACAGTTGTTCTGACCTGCAAAGAGTACTTCGAAGGCGATTCGATGCTCGCTAGTGACTGAGTTGTGACAAGTTGTAGTTGCCTGGATTTCTAGTGACGAGTCGGGTGTGAGGGCAAATATTTGCCATTGACAGTGTCTCACGATGGCTACATATAATATCACGGATTGGCATAAGTTAGAATTCATGGGGCATTGTAATCTGTCCCAGTAACTGAATAATTGACGTGCTCGCCTTGTGACGACCTGGCGGTTCTAGGTGTTTGTTTACTGGTGGTGAAAAGTCGCCACCTACGAAGAAACGGCTTTTCAGTACCCCATGATAGTTTGTAGTAGTTTCTCTAACTAGTGTCATTTCGTGATCAGGCAGCTTAAAGCCAATCAAATCCCTTCAAACCAATACTTGAAGAAAATTATATTTTTCAATCCTTTTCTTTTATTCCACTATATTACTGCAGAACCATTGTCGATGGTCTTAGAAGAATGGCTTGTCTGTGCCGATCATATGAGTAGTACAAAATTTTGTGCTGGATTTAATTCAGAGGCTTCACGAGCAAATGATATTGATGCCAATAATGTTAATGTTTCAAAAATTACTACGCGTGTTCATCAATGCATGCTACCAGCACTTGCACAGTTATGCTCTCGTACAGATCTACAGGTGATTTACTCTTTTTTAATGCTTGTATTATTTCTTGCCTGTGTTGTATGAATTTCTATGAAAAAAAGGTTGAATCAATGTATGTCTGATATCTACTAAGAGAACTTTCAAAAATGGCGGATTATTTGATTTCCGTTGATACTCTCTCTACTAGGAGATTTAAATCACACAGTTCCTTTTGCAATTTCGAGTTGATTCTGTTATTACCGTAGTGTGTTTTTCTATCGTGCCGACGATGCTGACGAATTGAGTTATTTTCCAGACAACTGGTACTGGCATCTTATATATGTAATCTCGGCTAATAAAATTGAGTAGGGTGCAGCAGGTCAGGTGTGAGGACATATACTCGCCGAAGACATTGGCTAGTGGTCGCGCTATGTCGTGAATTGGCAGAAGTTAGAATTCATGGGCCATTGGATCGGGTTCCAATGGCTTAATGGTCTACGAACTAGCTTGCCTTGTAAACAGAAGGTCCCGGGTTCGAGTCCCGTTGGTGGGTGCATACTGATGAAGAGTCCCAGACTAAGACGAAACAGCTATCCACTACTCCCAGGTTTTCCAATGATTCTCTAGCCAATGTCAGCTCATGATGAAATCCTGTAACTAATAAAATTAAGACTGCACCAACACCAAGGGCTAGATGCATGACTTCAGTTACTTCCTAATATCCAATCAAAGTAGCCATTACAGACCTATAGGAGGAGGAGGTTAATCTTGACCCGAAATAGTTCAGTGGTAACATCTCCGACCACACCACTGGTTGACCCAGCTTCAAATCTCAGAATGAACTTGACTTCCTTCAAGATTGCAGGTGCTCCCCGCTGACGATTGCCAACAAGCACGAAAGCTAAGTCCGAATCTCATCCTGCCGGTTACTTTCAACCATCTAACAACTAACATTTGAAGTACACTGTAACCGCAAACCACCTAACATGGTGGCCAGACTGCAAACATGACTGGTGGAATTCAGTCTACAGCAATGCCAAGGACTAAACACATGATATTTGTTACTGCCTAGTGTTCTATCAAAGTATTATATATATAGTCTTTTTACAAGACGTTAAATCTTGATTGCTTCGGTAAATCGCATTACATGCTGATGTTATCATTTGTTTTTATAATTATTTTTATTCAGGATTTACTCAGTCGAAAGGCTGTTGAACATTTACTCAGCATGTTGGTCACAGTAGTTCCGTGTATATTTAACAATGAGAAAGTTGCCATGGATACTGACTCTCCTTCCACCAGTGCTGTTCGTCCATCTGATGTAAGTCTGCACTAGTACTTTTGTTTTTCTTCTAAGAAAATGACTCTCATTCAATTTTTGTATCATGTATTTTGAATTTATATTGTTGAGCATACAATGAGAAGACCCATTGAATGACAACACGCTCCGGGTCGTCGACCGGGAAGCGAGGAGTAGAATGTGGGTCCGAAAGTGATATGGAGGTAGCATGAGTAGGATATGTTGGCTTTCCTCCATGGAGTCAGTCACAGGTTTGAATCCCGTTCCATCTACTAGGATTTCGTCAGCCAGGTAGTAATATAGAAACACTTACACAATAACTGCTGCTCATTTCCAGTCATATAGAAATCCAAGCATTCGTCATCTTCTTCCATGTAACTACTCTTTCTGTCTTACATTTCTGCTTATAACAGTTCTTATGTGCCGTTTCTGTTTTTCTATCTTTGTGGGCTACGTAAGGAGTTGCGAGCTGAACTGTTGCACTCCTGTGCAAAGTTTTATGTTGAAACTCATTGTGGTCAGTTAGCAGCATTCTTTTTATGGGCATAAAATAATTGAAATGAAAATTAAGTAAATTTTAGCTGTATGTAGTAAAGTGTTGTAACAGCCTATGTTCGAAAATGGTTTCAGGGTTTAATGTCACATATAAGCTATTTAAAATCTAACAGTTGTGACAACCGGCTATTTTTAGCCTTCAGATGGGAGGGGACTGTTTCTAGAAGGCGTAAAACACAAGTTTTCGTCATTAACAGCTTTCCTTCTTCCCCATCGATTTTGCGGTGATTTTTAGCCTCCGGGATAATTATTTTCAATTATATTTAAAAGTAAGTTGTGATTGTGTTTCGTAATATATGTCTGTTATGTGCTTCACTTCATAACCAGCAGTGGTATATGACATCAGTAGAAAGTTGTAGCGTCATATCATGAGGTTGAAATACACAGGCTGTTGGATTCTAATCTTTTAATGACTGAATGTTAGCGTGCTCATCTGGTAGCCTTACGATCATTGACTCGATTGCTTGTGGAGTCTCATGGGCGAGAGTGTTCACTAGTCAGTTAAAACGGTGCAGTTGTCCAGTGAACGTTCCATAGTGTTCCTTCAAATTATGTTGTTTCTGGCAATATCTACCAAATTTTATGGTTGAATTAATGCAATTACGAAGCACAAAGACGACTCACCAATAAACTGAAAAGAAGTGGATGAAAGACAGTTGAAGAGTGAATAATGACAACTACAGAATACAAAGATCTCGATCCAACTACCGCTTGGAATTTTCACACCTGTTTGATGACGCATTAATATCCGTTAGAGAAACATAGAGAATTAGCCAGACAGTGCTGTGTTCCGTTCTAGTTTTGCTCTCTTTAGCTGAAGGCATCCAATACCTTCAGATTGCCATTTAATTACTGGGATGGAATCCGGTGACTCATGAATTCCAACTGCTGCAGGTTTGCGAATTCAAGTGACCCTTTTTCTTCTCTTATTTCTGTTTCTGTAGTCGAACAACACTGACTCTGGTAATCAACCACTAGCTAGTGTTCTTGAAGATGAGATGTCTTCCACCGCACAACCTATTCAGTCATCTCAAACAACCGATTCAGAGGCAAATGTTCCACCTAACACTGAACAACGGAATGAATTACCCATGGATGTCTCTGACACATCTTTAGAGGTAAGTGAACTTGTGTTTTTTGTTTTGTCTATCTCAGGTCATACCACTGTAACCTCTAAACTTGTTTAATGTGTATAGTGATGATTGAAACTGTAATTTACATGATGTAATATGTTAAGATGTTTTCTTTTTGGGATATCTTCCTACTATTATGGAGTAGTAGGAATTCTGTATGCGTAAACTACACCTAAACAGGTGAACAGGTGTAGTGTCTTAAACAAAGTGGAACGCAATGAAACATAATACCTTTGATTTGTAAGACGTTATTGCCGGAATTTGGCAATAGTAAACCTCTGGCTGAACAACTAACTGTGTTAACAGTCAGTTTATACTTCTATGTGAGTTTCGTCACGAACCGACATCAGTTGGAGATCACTGAAAACGTGGGAGTACTGCAGAGCTGTTTCATCTTAGTTTGGCATTCTAAAACAATGCGCATCCACTATCCCAGAAGGAAAAGGAACTTTTTGTCAGGAGACCAAAACCCGTTGATCATTCAGTCATTTGTGCCGGATATAAATGACTTATGGGTTCTAACTTTGCCAATTCGTGATGTATCTCTACCGACAGTCAATGGCGTTGATGAGTATCCGCTTCAACTTGACATGGTGGACTCTACTGACCAGAGCATCATCTCGCTACAACTTCAGGGTGTCTATCTTATATCCTTCGGTGTGGTGGAGGTTGATATTGAAATTGTGGGATATTGTAGGGAATCGGATTAATTTCAATATAGATTATTTTTACAACCAACATTAGTGTATGCTCTTTGAAGGTATTGGTTAATGGTAGTTCTATTTCACAAATTGACAGTTAGAATTCGTTGTATATTGATTTCGGACTCAAGTAGCTAAATTGTCAGCGAGCTGGGTATCTTAATCTGAATAGCCTGCTTTCACAACTTCTGGGGGGACTGTTGTTGTTATTGGTCTCTCTAAATCTTCAAATTGATAGAAGTTAGAATTCATAACCATTGGATGATTACATCCTAGTGACTGAGTGGTATACGACCTCATCTGATAATCTGATGGTACTGGGTTCAACCTCTGGTGGGTTCATAAGTGCGTATTGCTGAAAGAAAAGGGTCGAATTACGATGAGGCAGCCATCCAGTACTCCCTGGTTTTCTAGCGGCTTCCTAAACTGAAGTCACTTTGTGATCAAAATTGGAACAAGTCGGATTCCTATAAACTAACTCTTGAGAATGTTGTAATTGTTAGACAACTTTTCATTTACAAAAAGGCATTCATATGACATGGATGTTTCTTTTTTCTTTTCGGCTTTTTTTGGTTTACTTATTTCAGCAATCTCCAGCGTCTACTACGACTGGCCTTACTGCAAATCCACTCATTGTACCTCGTACTGTACTCCAAAGGCCAGACCAGTCACAAGCAGCAATTCAAATGACAGTTGCTTCGTCTGTAGAGTCTTCAGTGGATAATAATCCTTCACAAGTTATGGATTCTCAAGAATCATATCTAGCTGATGGTGACAGTAATAATATTGATGGTGTTGAGGAGGGTGTACGCGATCCTGACGCTTTACGTTTGATGGAAGAGATGGGCTTTGATTATGATTTGGCTATGGTTGCTTTGGAAGTAAGCATTCAGTGTTTAATTGTCATAATATAGGATATATTTATTAGACTGGGTTTCTGGGAATTGGTCTTTCATGTGGGCCAACCTACATGCCACACACTTATCTGTGTGTGTGTGTGTGTAAGGGCTTACGAAACTATCCAGTTGCCCAGACTGTTAAGTAGGTGAGGTGAGACTAGACTGGAACCTGGAACTCATCTACTGAAAGTTTGGGGGCTTAAAGCAGTATTCCAAGTCTCTACCATAATTGCATCGGCACTAATTCAGCTATATGTGTATATGTATTCATCCTACTGGTGTCCATCAATAAATGATTGTGTTTTTTGCCAATTTATTGCCACTATTATTGTTATGTTTTTCACTGTCTTTTCCCATCAAGCAAACGGGATGGAATACAAACGATGCAGTAAATCTTATGATAGCGACTCCTCCAGAGGACTTAATGCGCAATGCGATTCCACCTATAGCTGCTGGTTTGAGAAGAGTTCGACCACCTCGTAGAAGTCAACGGCATCGGATAGGTGGTGGTGGCACAGCAGGGGAAGTTGGTGTTGGGAGTCAGTCCACGTCATCGGAGACCAGTATGGATACTACAGGAATTCAGTCTAACGTGTATGAACATCTAACCGAATTTATTGATAATGTAAGTTATAGTCTTTCTCCTATACATTTATCATTAGAAAAAAGACAATTATGTATAATTTTGAATTAATTCATTGATTCCAGTAATAAGACGTCATCGTGGCACAGGGAACATGTACTAAAACGTAGTAATGTTAATACTGTTAAAGTTGATTATGGACTTAGCTAACATGCAAAAATAAAGCTGTACTACAATGGTAAACAGGGTATCAAGGTTTGGATATAGGTATGAGATGTAGATGTGTGTTCGTTGAAATGTTTGGTTCATTGCCTTATCCCCGGAAGTCTCTAATTGTCGTTTCTAACCGCGTAGACTTATAACCAGCATGATACACATGAGCAACATACCAGAATGACCACGAGTTGACGTAAGTTAATGAACCACTGGAGAACCAGAGAGTATTGAACAGCTGTTTTGTCCCTGGTTGGGAATACCAGCGTTCAAACTAAATTCTTCCGATTGCGAGGCGATCTCATAGATCACTCAGCCACTGGGACTCGATGCATTAGCCCATCAATTTCAACTTCTGCCAGTCTGCAGCAATGTGTTTTTCAGTTAACGTGGCGTATGCACAGTGTTTTTTCCAGAAGCATGTTAGGATACTTCCCGAAGAATGTCATACAAGTATTTTCCTGCTTTTGACAAATATGGTATGCCATAAGATCGTTTTACCTTGTATGAGGTAGCAGACATTAGTTTTAGCATTTAGTAAATGACTGCCTTGCTTGCAAATGCAAATGGCGCCCTAAAACCCTTCCCGTACCCTCCCGACCTACTGAGTCTAAAAATAGAAATCAGCACAAGGGTGTACCAGTCCAAGCTGCATTACCCCCATGTAGCACACAAAGGTAGACAAAAGAGATTCAAAAGGAATATAGTAAGCAGAAATGTTTTCGTTGGCGAGGATAAATAGTAACAAGCGAATTGATAACGGCTTAGTGGATTTTGAGTCATATCACCAACAGTTTCTAAACATTGCCTCTTAGGTTTTCGAGACTGTCCACACCTCCCTGTGTACAAATCCCCGTTCCACAGTAACTAAGCTCCATTTCAAATTTGTAATGTGTTCATTAATAGTCAGAAGTTTAGGTCAATGTGTTTCAACTTTGTCAATTCTTTAAGTCATAACCAAAATTTTCTCTATCACTTTTTGGAGCGCGGTTGCTTTTTCTCTCTAAGCTGATTGTTTTGTGTAATGTGATGATTTCTATAAGATGCAGATTTATTTATTAATTTTATTTAAAAAAACAAAACAAATTTGGTACATTATAATCACAAAAGGATGCGGTACGCATAACATCACAGTTTGTGAGACGGCTGGGTTACTGCCTAGCCCGTCATGCCAAAGCTCGTGGTTGTCTTAAGGCACCACACACAGAGTCTTTGGCTTGATATATCATCCAAAACACAGTGAAGTAGCGTTCGGGGGTAAAGATTCCCATGCCTCAGGTTCAGGTCCATACGGCATTCTATCCAACTGGATTCCGGAGCTCATGTACATCATATGTTTAGAGTTAGGGTTTTCCAGCTTGCCTAGGTGTAGACTTGAATATCCACCAGTTCGGTTGTAAGCTCCAGAAGTTCGGACTCCACCTTTTGCTTTTGCTAGAGATATCCCAGTCGCCTGTTGGCAGTAATATGGCGCTTGTCTGGGAATGGAAGTGAACAAGTGGTCATATACACCCACCACCAGGAGCGACCTGGTGGTGGGTGTATATTTGTAGAAATTCATCGTTGAAGGCAATGCAATTAATTCTTGTGTACTAAGGAGCATTTTCAGGCTTAGACAAGATGTAGGAATTAAAACTTTAATCTGCGAAGACTCATCATGTAGATTATTGTGACTTTGATTTCACTGGATACTCGTTGGTTATTCGGTAATTTAACTTTGCTCTACCTTCCAACAGAGTGGTTTTCAAGCGTATTATTATTATTTTTAATGTTATCTTTTATACCATTTTACCTTTAGCTAAGTACCATTGATCGTTTGGAAACACTCATGAATACAGACGATCCCACCATCACGGGTAGTGAAGTTACCTTGCCTACAAATAGTAGTCTCAACTTGAAAGATTTAAAGCGACCTTCTGCCTATAAATTTCCCCTTGTTATGCTTGAACCGTTTAACGAAAAGGTGTACAATGAAGCTCGAGAATCACTGAAACAAAATGTCTTCAAAACGTGTTATGCTATAGCTAAACGTCATCATTCAGATCAGGTAAGTGTTTTAATTGGATCATTTTAAAGGGGTAGTTATTATTATTTTTCAAACTATATTGTATCTTCAAGTATTGGTTTTGTATGAATTTTGTGTGATTGGTTGGAGGATTTCATCATGAGCTGACATAAGTTAGAGAACTATTGCAAAACCTGGAAGTATTGGGCAGCTGTTATGTCCTAGTTTAGAACTTTTCAGTGGTACGCAGCCGCAGGGGTTCGAACCCAGGACCTTCTAGTTACTTGGCGATCTCGTAGACCAGTGGTCGGGTCCCAGTGGCTCAAGGGTCCACAAGCTCATCTTGTAACCAGAAGGTCCTGGGTTCCAACCCCGGTGGATGCGTATCACTGAAGAGTCGCAGACTAGAACGAAACAGCTGTATTGTATCTTGTTTATGTCGAGTCACACTGAACTGAAGTTTCATCGTAAGAATGTTCATAGGTGCATCGCTTCATTTCGCCACATATCTTTGAGTAAAGAAACCACAATGGAACTGCAATGATCAATGGTGTGTAGAGGAGAAAGAATAGTTACTTGAAGAATAAAGAAAATATTCAAAATCTCTATGACTACAGCAAACGTTTTTCAGACATGTCACTCACAGTGTATAGCCTCTAATATATTCTTAGCACTTCAAGGATTCTTAAGGAACAATCTTCACCTCCTCTGTGTGTGTAGCTCAAATGAGCAGGGGAAAATTTGTATGGATTACTGCCATCCTCACGTCCAACCACTTCTACCTCTTTTCCACACTTAGCTCTTATTATCAGCGAATACTGGTTATTTAGGTAGGTAGGTAGGTGGCTTGTGTCTTGGCATGCATAACATATCTGCTCTCTATTTTGGTCGATATATTTTCACACAACATTCAAAGTTGGGAGCGCGTATCCTCGAAAAGGCGTCAGAATTAAATCTATATGTTTCATATAATTTTGTTTATTACAGTATTTTCCAAGTTCCCATTATGAAAACTGTAAAAATTAACAATTTTTACAATTCTACCTAATTCTATTAACTTGTTTATACTTTACGTAACTCTTCTGAGTCATCCTATTCTTGTTAGTCATCACTGCTATTTTACAAATTTCTTGATTACGTAATACCTTGTCGCTAAGACTTAGCTTATTTTGAATTCCGTAATTAATTTTCACCTCTCTTTTGAAACTTAGATATCTTGTTACTAACATCTATTAGTTATTTGTTTTGGTGACCTTTAACCTTTTGATTTCACTCCCGCTTATGCCTAAAACTGATTAATTAGTAAAATAATTTTGATGTCAGAAACTATTTATTAGTGTAGAGTCGATGATGATGAACTAATTGAAAAGGAACATCTTTTTTCGCTCGATCTGTTGTTTTTTCAAAATAGTATTATTCACTGGATAACAAAGTGTGGGGGATGCAATTTATTCTTCAAGCTAGAAGCTTGAAGTTTCTGTAGCAGAGTCTATTTTTCGGGATGGGGTTGCTGGCCTCATGCCCAACCTTCCCTATTTACCAGTCTTATTAATGGCTTAGCGAGGTGAAGAAGTGCGTCTGTGGCTGGGGATTGAACCCCGGACCATGTGCATTGTGGTCGGCGAGCGTCCTAACCGCTGTGCCACCGAAGCACAATTTATTCTTCACAATCGTATTAATTCCGTGTACACAACTTCGAATCTTCATTTTGAATAATTCTCGTTCTTCTCTTTTATGCACGTATTCTCAGTGAATTTGATACATGTCCACTAGATTAGTGGAGCACAATGGGTAGGGTCAGAAAAAGACTCAGGTATAACACTACATCCAGTTTCACACAATAAGATGGGGGGCATAGTGACTGTCTTAAAATCTGACGTAACAGGGTGGTGAGTGTGGAATGGATAACTGAGGCTTTATTTATCTAGTCTAGTCAGCTGTAGAAATGATTCAACACGCCTCACGAACGTCTGGGAAATTCTACTATGTTCAAGATAAATGGAAAAGAAGTGCTAGAACTGTAGAAATCAAGTTTCGCAGTTGTGTGTATTTACAGTTGCTACGATGATGTGAATTATGAATTGTGTTCGAAATTTCGTGAATCCAGTATATAATTCTATTGCCTACTGTTTAGTACAACCAATAAACGCATTGGTGTGGAATTACATACTACTACTGTAACAACAGAAGACAAGGGCCAGGCAACAGATCGTTTATTAAGGGAATCAAAACATATTTATATATTTTCATGTACATAATTGTAGTTTAGTTAAGCAAACAAACACAGTCTTCTGATTGGTTGTTTCTCACTTAAAGTTAATCTCTTTCATCTCTTTGTGACTGTTTCTTGAATGTCAGATCATTTATATTCTAACGGTATCCGCCTACACAAAGTCTGCTGTGGTCGGTTTTTGAAGCAGTCTTGTTCATATTTTCTCACGACCAATCTTGAGAACGTCAACATCGACGTAAATTACTGTCTACCAATTTGTCTAGTAGACAACTCTCACCACAACAGTAGCTACGATGATGTGAATTATAAATTGTGTTCGAAATTTTGTGATCCAGTACATAATATATATATATATATATATATATATATATATATATATATATAGCTTTTCTAATCACTTTTTACAATTGTAGATATATATATATATATATATAGCTTTTCTAATCACTTTTTACAATTGTAGATTCTCCATCAAATCGCTGAATTATTCTTATCCAGTGGTGAACATGAACGATATATTAATGAATTATTCGCCGTTGTCATCTCTAGTCTCGCGTCATATCTTCGTATTCCACCTACTACAACTACGGTCAACAGTAAACCATCTGATGTGTTGTTGTTAAGCCCCGAGAATCCAGAGTTTGTTAATCGTGATACTGAGCACCAGACTGTTGGATTACACTTACTTGTGCTTTTATTCACTCGATGTCCATCAGTCTGTGCTTCTTTAGCATGGAGTTATAAACTACCCAGTATGCTGATAGAGTTTATTTGTCAATCTGAAGTGATTAGTAAACCGATTGTCGACGGCAGTGATAATGCTGGTGTTGGTAGTTCACATGGACATAGCATGTGCGTGGAGATGAATGATGCGGAACTTGGCTCTTCTCAAGGTGTATCTTCTGTTTCGTCATCAAAAACAGACTATTATAAAACGTTAACTTTAGCTTTTCTTATATTGGATCAATATGAAAAAAGCATTCAGGTAGGCATAATTCACGTGAAATTCTTTTCCAATTTTTAAAACTTGTGGTAGTTAGTATTTCTATATGAATTGAGTGCAGTCAATATCGTAATCACCTGTTCTTGTTGATTGTGTTATATATTTCAAACTTTTTCCCCATTAAAATAAGCTTAGTAAGCCTGTATTTAATGTTTCTTAGTGGTTAGAGAGATGACTAGCGAGTTTGAAAATGAAGGATAATCACTTTTGTTGTGGATAGGAATAGTTTCGAATGCTACTTCTGAGGACTGTGTAATGTAATAAGTCTGAGGTCTGTCAGTACGAAATTTTCTGATAAGTACATATAGGAGCAATGCAAACCGGCTTTTTCATTCGTCTGCATCGCCTGTGGAGCATAGCGCTTCAAGCTGCGAAGTTTTCGTAGAGGTGATTTTCTTCCTTTACACAGGTTGACGTTGTTAGCCTCATGCCTTCCCTCCTTCCTTACTGTTTGCTAGTAAGCTGAATGAGGTCCAGGAGTTCGTCGGTCGAGAATCGAATTAAAGAAAGTAGTGAAATGATCGGAGAAATCTATTAAACGCCGTCATTTATGTGTCCAGGTGAATTAATAGCAATATTATTGCTTGATTATTTACTCCTAGTATTCCGAGGGGAACATACAACCGCATTGGCACATTACTTTGTAGTCGGTCCTCTGACATCACCTTCAACTGGTTTTCTCGAATGCCCATAAACGTTTGTTTCCCTATTCTGAGAAGTTCGTTTTGAACACAGTACAGAATTTTCAACTTTAGCTTTTGTGAGGTCTACGTTCAAGATCTTTGAGAAATATTACTAATCGGTGATGCATCACTTTAAACACTATTGTTTCCTTCAAAACAGACTTCTTTACTTCGCGAAATTTCTCTCCCATTTTCTTCGAAAAACCCGTTGCATCAGGTTGTAGCTCTTTTTGAAAATGTGCTTGAGAGTACGTCAAGATTCATGAAGGTTGTTGGATTGTTAAAAGAGTGTGAAATACAGTAGATGTGATGCATTTTGATGGTAGCCCAGTGATTTAACGAGGCTATTATTGTCATCACCTTTGGCAGCTAAACTTGTCAATTCCTATTTGGATTCCACTCGAGTTGCTTGCATTCATTGTCTCCTCGTATGCTGAATCGCTCTGCATTTCTTCTTGCATATAGTTGTTAGCTGGTTCGCTGCACTGCCAAAGCGCTTCATTATGTATCCCTTATGGTTGACCACCTGATCTTCGGCTGAATGATGTGTTGATATTCGAATACTTTTTCATGACCACAAAGTCATGCAGGATATCTCATCCAAAAATGCGAAGGAATAACTACTTGATGTTTAACGGAAACGAAAACTGTACTCATTTAGGACGTAAAATGCATGAAATGACTGCTGTTTTTTGGTATTTAAAATCAGTTTTTTTGGGGGAGGGGAGGGCTGATTTTATCGAAGTCCTCGGTGTCAGTAGTAGGATATCTGTTATTGGTCTTTTAGTATTCTATGCTTCACATATTTTGACTACCATGTTATTGTGTCGTCTGAGCCGTGAGTCGTCTAACTGTGAAGCTTTCATTGTACTTGTAGACACGATATCTTTAGCTCTTGATGTAGTTTTGAAACTTAAAAGGATATATATATATATATAAACCAATACTACTTCCTGGGGGGGGGGGCGAAATTGATTCGACAGAGCTATTTATTTCCGCTGACATTTAAAAAATACATCAGCACAACACTAAACAATTTCTTGTGGAATAATGAATTTGTGTATTCTCTCCTTCAGATTAGTTAGGTAGGAGATTGAACGGGTTATGCGTATAATCTAACCGTTTGTGTGTGTGATATAGATACAGTTTTTGGATAATTCACTTCAACACTTATTTGTGTTTCTCCCCTCTCTTTCTCCCATGCCTTTTCTTACAGGCTATGCGTCTACGCCAGGAAAGCATTAAACTATACGCTTCTTCGCATAACTGGTATTGGTTCGATAATCAAGCAGTACTTTGGCATCCTTATGCTAATGAAAGTATGCGAGTTATCGATAAACGTTTTCATAGAGGTGATTTATTCGCCTCTTATGATGTTAATCGAAGACCGTATACTGTTGAATTCCCTACAATGACACAACGCAATCTTGTCAGTATGCATAGACGTCCTGTTCTTCTGTTCCCGTCTATTCCAAAGGATGGAGAAACAAATACGGAGACTTCAACAACGGATCAGAGTAAGTGTGTTATGTTATATAATTAAGGATTTTCCCGCTGATATTGATTAGACCGAAGCGCTCGGCCTCTGTTGTCGACATGTCGGCTCTTTATGCGGATGCTTCGACGATGTGGCGCCTGAGTCAGACGTGATATCCGACCATCGATCAACGTGCGTGTCTAATGCACAGTAGTAGTCCTCTCTGTCCTCTTTTTTATGGCTGTCCGAGGTGGTCACTGATATTGGAAGATATGTAGAAAGGCTAACTGTTTTTGACCATAGATATTTTTATTGTCTGTCGTGTTAAATGGTATGATCTGTTGTGAGTAATAATAAGGTAAACTTAATGTTAGGTAAGGATGGAAACTCAGGCAATGAAGTTGTGAAGCTAAATTGACTGAGATAATTAGCACATAGGCCGGAAAAGAGTTAGCTGTGTTAGCCATAGCTAAACGTGATATCAGTCCCTTAAGTCTTTGACACTTAGTTTTCAGCCATCCATGTTGGGAAGGTGTAGACTGTCTGGTTGGGGATGTCAGGATGCTGTGTGAACCAATGGCTGTAGAGTGTCGATGGTATGGCTGAGAATCGTTCTCAATGGATCAAATGCATTTAGACTTTAGATCTCCAAAATCCATTAAATGTTCATAGTTTACCTGAATTTTATTCTCTCTCCAGCATTATACATGTAGTTATCTAAAGTGTGACAACTTGAATTAGTTCACTTTTTTGCAAACTTCTCACCTTATTTTGTATGCGTTTATTCTTTGAGAATAAGTTAGAGTGAATTTGCTTTACTAGTTTTGCTCATATTTATTTCTTTTCGTACTTTTTTCGTCAAAATATGTTTATAGTGTCCCCCTATGAACTTAGCCTAATGAACACAGAAGTACCTGAATGTTTAAATCCTGTAGAACGTTCAAAGCTATGCCAAGCATTAATACAACATTTCCGTGCATTAAAGAGAACACCATCTGCTGCTACTACACAATCAAATGCTTCATTGTCGTCGTCATCGTTCACTGAAACTAATATGCCTACATCATCTGATCAGCAAACACCTCTTCCATCGGATTGTTTAAATGCTATGTTCAGATTGCTGCTACGCTTATGCTTTACAAGCTATGAAAACGCCAGGGAGTTAGCTGAATCCGACTTCTTAACAGTATTATTCACCTATCCGCATGCTAAGGAGTTTTCAGCTGATTATTCAGCATTTGTTGGTGCTCTTATATCCGAAGTGAGTTCAATCTAGAGTGACTCATTATTATTATTATTATTCATTTCTTGCGTTTCGCTCGGAATATGGAGCTTTATTGCTAGATCTCTGTTGCACCCGGTTCATTACTACACTTTCAGTCGTCACCACGAACGCCTACAAGCTTTCATTTCCTTGTCACCTGACCTCTTCCACGCGATTCTTGGACGTCCAACCCTGTCGCTTGCCATTTGGTTTCTACTTTAAGATCTGGCATGGTGTATACCAATTGCAAGCCTGCTCAGTGTATGTACAATCCATGTGAATTTCCCTCTCTGTATTTGTTAGACAATAAGTAGGTCGTAGGCTGGTACGATGCATTACCAGAGTTCATTTTTGTCTATTTTTTCAATTCCTGTCATCTAAATTTACGGTATCAGTTGAAGGTGTAAACTGTTGATGGAAGCCTGCAGCAGCTTAAAAAAAGCTTTTGGTGGGTGACATGGCAAGTTTCTAAACCTTGTAGTACCGCTAACTTGACGTCAATGTTGCATAAAATTCGTTTTTTTTTTGTTTCCTGCTCTCAGTGCAACCGACCTCCACACACTCATTTTAGAGTAATAAAATACCACTCATACTCTTCCGATTCTGACTGTTGATCTAAATATAATCACAAAAGTTTTTGAACATTTCTACGGTTCATTTGACTAATTACTTATGCTGGTGTGTGTAGGTGTTTATTACTCACACCCTAGATACACATACATTATAGAAGTTGGTTTCTTCTCTAGGATGTCTGAAACAGGAGAAGCATCAGTTTTGCGTGTCGGAGAGCACAGGCAACAACAGCATGTGGTCGGTTTTGTAGTTAAGATCTTAAGTCGTGATGTACAATTTTTGGATCAGACCTTTTCTAACCCTCCCCAGAGTTGGAGAGGTTGTACAACTACCATACTGGTGATCCACTGTTACATCCCGTTACATAATATACATATTTATATATTAATGCTATATCGTATATATTTTTACGTTCAAGGTATTTGATGATTCCGCCACTTCTGAGAGAATAATGAAAGAAATTTTGAGTAAAATGTCAAAGTATGGTATACCTAGCGCCTTCATGGGAATTGAAGCTGGTCCAAGATCATGTCGTGATTTGTTTTACCTGTTGAATATGTGCTCACCATTGTTTGCAAAGGATCGTCAACGTGCTATGAAATTAATGTCAGAAACATTCAGTCTATCTATACCTAAAACAGATTTAGAAAGTGAGTTTGTGTGCGTTTTTGTGTTAATTGTCTTTTGTCTGTGTTTGACGTCATTGCTGTCTGGTTGCGTGACTGCAGAGCCCAGGGAACAACTGCTTGAGGCCGGTCACATGCGGCCTGTTTTTGTTTGTTCTTTTTCATTTGTTGTGTCTCAGTAGCATATTTATCACTTCTGCCCTGTGACACGGCAGCGGGAAGCGCGGTCGTTGTTAGTCCGGGCCCCGACTGATCCGGCATGATATTTTGTGATTTACTTTGAGTCATAGCATTGGGTTGGGTAACTGCTTTTTGTCTAACCGCTATCCAAACAACCTTTCTGGCATGGTAGGACCTCAAGCGACATAAGTCTCAGCCAGTATAGCTTGTTGGGTCATTGCGGTTTTCAAGCCCGACCACCACGTCAAGGTAGCAGCTTTCGGTCGGGGTTTGACGTCATTATATTAGCATGACTCATTTAGGTCGGCTTTTGATGGCTGCAATTATAAGGACTTAAAAGGGGGGATAGTAGGTTGGTAATTATCTATTAAACAGCTCTGGGTTAGGTATTGGTGGACGTACTAAAATTGTTTTCATACTCAAATGCACCAACAGTTGTCAATCTAACAGTGCTACTTTCACCTCTCAGCAAGGCCTCATATGTTGACTATCTCTTTATTTCGCAACTTGTCACACAATGGTTAGCATATAGCTAACGTCAGTGACTATCCAATGCACAGCGTCGTAAGATGGCATCACTCATTGAAAGATCATTCCCGTTGTGTCTTAAAAGACATCGTTTGACTTCAGAATCACTTTCATGAAGATATCAGTGAATGCAAATAATCCTATTGAGATGGAACACACAAAGCCGCTGCTCATCTACTCAGAGGCGTATAACGAAACTGACTAGGTCTTGTCATTGTACACTCAATCTTTAATATTAAGACTAATGTCATAATGGTGTAAGAGGTTGCCTAGGTTGTTGTGTTCTGCCTATGGCTTTCACTATACAATTAGAAATTTAATCCATCATACTGTCAGTACCCCGACAACTACATAGATACACGGACTTATCGACAAATTCATGCGGTCAACCTGAAAGAGTGCGAGTGCATGTATAGACTCCTGCAAATATTGCTACAGTACTATGCAGTACTAATCTCTGACTGGTTAAGCAATACTTGGGTAGCCTGTTTTTCATCACACATTTAAACCATATTGTGGACATAGTCAAGTTCATTTGATCTACACCACTGTAACTCACGTCTTTCACAGCTCTTGCATGGATGAAAAGGTTGGCGAGGAATAATGAGATCGGGTGACACGGTTTAGTTTTATTATTGATGAGAACAGTGGTGACAGTTAGCTGTGTGATATGTATATACTTTGTCACTTTTAATCATGGCTCCCAACTATTCCCGGATGTAACCACTGATTCCAATTCGTAGATTTTGACCAGAATTTGCTGCTCTTGCGTAAGTAATGTTTGATTTCACACCTAAGGAACTTACACGAATTTTACCTGTCATCCTGAAGAATGAACTGAAAAGCTTCAAGAACTTAAAAGAAACTGGTAGAGAATAAGTAGTTTTTAGATTGAGTTCTTCAAAGCTGCAATCACATTAACTCGCCAATGTCATAATGTTTTAAATGTACAGCTAGTGTTCGTCTTTACCATCTGTGGTTGTTGTAGTGTGCAGGTCTGTCTGAAACTTTGCAACAGTGTCAGGGAATTCCAGTTTACTCACGTCGATATGTTGAAAACAACTTTCACGGTCACCAAATCATACGATAAACCTAGCACGCACTGAAAGCCTGATCGGAAGGCGGAGAAGTGATCCAGGAAGAGTGGCAGTATACGCACCATCCGTGGCTGATAGCAATACGATCCGACTTAAGTGACAGAAGGGGCACTACAGTGATAGTCGTATTGCTTGAAAAATATATTATCTTCGCAAAGCTGCAGAAAAAAGTCCTTGTTATATGATCTGCGACCACTTACACCCTAGTGACTACTTAGACAGCTGTCTTCTGATCTTAGACGCCCGATCATTAGACACAAGTCGCAGCCAACAATATGATGTGTATCAAGCATGTGTGCTTCTCCTAATTTAAATTGTGTTTCAAGGTCTGCGTGTTCATTGTTTAATAGCCAACCTTTGTGTTGGTTACCTATTTTAATGTAGACACTACAGAATACCTAAATCAGTCACATAATTTATGTATTTCATCGAATCTTTGTTTGCTTATCACCTGAGAATCTCAATCACATTATTTTTTTAAAGCTAAATCCTATCCAAAAACATACACTGTCGAAGAAGCTGGTCCTAATTCGGAACGATCTACATTATTTCCACTTACTAGTCGACAAAAACACTTGCTAACACAATTAATGGATTTGATAATGTCTTCAACAGTGTTGAAATCAAAAGGAGATTGTCGTTCATCGTCTACTACAACTGGAGTAGGAACATATCTTGAAGTAAGTTTTTATTTATACTCGTTGCTTTGATGCACATTAGGCCTGTTGTTTGTGTCCTGTCTCCCCATGTTAAGTGGTATAATGTGGTGAGCAGTATTGAAGTAAGACGTCTATATCTGCGGTTGTGGAGCAACAGGGACTGAAATGATTAGGACGTGTTGAGCATGCCTTACCATCCCCTTCATTGACAGTCAGTGTTATCTGACATAGGAGTTAGGCTGGGAAGAGTTCGTGGTGGTCAAGTCAAATCCTGGCATCAATGCATGAAGTCTTTGATAGTTGGTATGAACTAGCCACATAGGGATATGTAGACTGCATTGGTTGGTGACGTTGAGGTGCTAAGAACCAATGACTTGAGACTCATACCTTTTCCTCTCTTTTGTCTACCTTTTTGTGCCACATGAACTGTGGCAACATGAACTATGGCAATTTCATGGAAATTCATGTGTCGGAACTCACTCAGTCATTGAGTGTTAGCATGAAAACTGCATATCATTTTTTTTGGGAGGGCGGGATATTAGCATATTCCCTACGATGAAAACAAAAATGATCGCTGAACAAAGTGGTTCGCATACTGATCAAGAGCAGTCAAGGAGAGTTTATCACTTGACGGTTATTTCACAAATAAATGAAATAAGAAAATTACAGCATGTTTGCTGTTTTTTATTTCGATTTTCCGTCATATTCTGAGATAATATCACGGATCACTCTAATTTGAATTACCTTTCGGACGTTATCCAGGGAGTTGTGATGAACCAAACGGATGCTAACTTCACACAACCATCTTGCTTCCCTCACCCCCCAGGTTATAAGCTTCCGTTCGGTTTGTGGAGTTTGAAATCTTTCACGTCTTAGAGCAGATCATCCATCCTATCTTCAGAATCTGCTCAAATGATGAGTATTAAATTAAATTTAATTGTAGACAGGTTATGATGAATTGATTTTCACTGCAACTGTCAGAGCAAAGCAAGAAAGACTACGTAGCACCACTGAGGAATCATCCGTGGAAGACCATTGGAACTCTCTGAAGGTAATTTTCAACGAAAGGTGCTCAACGGTTTTAGGAAGAAAGAAGAAACAAGACAAGGAATGGCTCTCAACAGACACTTGGAAACTAATAGAGGAGAAGAGAAAGGTGAAAGAGAAAATGATTCAATGCAAAGATGGACAAGAGTTTGAGACGCTGAACTCAACTTACACAGCACTGGACAAAGAAGTGAAGAAGAGTGCCAGGAAGGACAAAAGACAATTCTACGACAACCTGGCTACTGAAGCTGAGAAGGCAGCAGGCAAAAGGGACCTGAGGACACTATATCAGATAACCAAGTCTCTATCCGGGAAGAGATCAACACAAGTGAAACCTATAAAAGACAGCCAAGGGAACCCAATTACCAAAGAAGAAAGACAGATTAAACAATGGGCGGACCACTTCAAAGGACTCTTGAACCGACCACCACCTACAACCCGTCCAGTAATACCAACAACAGCGCGTACACAACTGCAAGTTGACACCAATCCTCCAACGAAAACTGAAGTCATGAATGCAATCAAGCTTCTGAAAGCTGGAAAAGCAGCTGGACCAGATGGAATACCCCCAGAAGCACTAAAAGCGGACCCAAAAACGACAGCAGATATGCTGACTCCATTATTGCAAAAGATCTGGAAAGAGGGAAAGGTGCCTACTGACTGGAGGAAAGGTTACCTGGTGAAACTACCAAAGAAGGGCGACCTGGGACTCTGCAAGAACTGGCGAGGAATCATGCTCCTGTCGACGCCAAGTAAAATCCTGAGTCGCATCATCCTGGAGAGAATCAAGGACGCGCTGGATACAGAACTCCGACCAGAACAAGCTGGATTCAGGAAAGGCAAATCATGTTCTGACCAAATTGCAACTCTACGCATTATCATCGAACAAAGCATGGAATGGCAATCAAATCTCTACCTCAACTTCATAGACTTTGAGAAGGCCTTCGACAGCGTTGACCGCGAAGTAATTTGGAAACTACTCGAGTACTACGGCGTACCGCAAATATTCATCAACCTTATTCAACAGCTGTACGACAACGGCACATGTCAAGTGATCCACAACGGAAAACTCAGCGAAGCGTTTCGAGTAAACACAGGAGTCAGACAAGGGTGCTTATTATCACCAATGATATTCCTAATTGTGGTGGACTGGATTATGCGTCAGACAGTGGGAAACGAGAAGACAAGAATATCCTGGACCGACGTAAAGAAACTAGAAGACCTGGATCTTGCGGATGATTTATGTTTGATGTCACACAAAATCGAAGACTTACAAGCAAAAACCGACAAACTGGTCGAAGAAGCAGCAAAGACAGGACTCCAGGTGAACATAGACAAGACGGAGGTTATGAAAATAACCAACCAACAACAACAACAACAACGTCCAGCGCCAATCACCATCAACAGGAGGGATTTGAAAGAGGTTACTTCATTCACTTATCTAGGGAACATCGTCTCAACTACAGGAGGAACGGACGAGGATGTCAAATCGAGAATCGGGAAGGCGAGAAACACATTCATCAACCTGAAACCAATCTGGAAATCTTCGTCACTCAGCATCAACAACAAAATTCGGATTTCCAATACAAACGTCAAGTCAGTCAGTTCTTCTATACGGATCAGAAACTTGGCGGTGGGTCACAAAGAATATTTCCAACAGCCTGTTGCAGACCTTTATCAACAACTGTCTTCGCTCTATACTGAAGATTAGATGGCCAGAAAGAATCACAAACAAGAAGCTATGGGAACAAACGAAACAGGAACAAATCGCCCAACAAATATGCAGGAGGAAGTGGAGATGGATTGGACACTCGCTGAGGAGGCCGTTGAGTGACATCTCGCGTCAAGCCCTCGAGTGGAACCTGAAAGGGAAGCGGCGAGTGGGACGTCCAAGGGTGACATGGAGGAGATCGTGTGAAGAGGAGTTGAAACAGTATGGAATAACATGGACGCAGGTGCAAAGTACAGCAGAAGACAGAAGCAAGTGGAGACGTGCAGTTGAAGCCCTATGTTCCACTAGGAACCCAAGGAAACAATAATAATAATAATAATATGATGATGAATTGAATCTTTAAAAAATTAGGAAACAGAGAAAAGAACAGTTAGCTGAAGAATAAAGCGGAATTCCAAAGTCTGTATGATAGAAACAAAAGAACATATGTATGCTACTTTTAATGCTACGTAGTTATGTCGTCAGCATTCTGCTACTTCTTTTTCTTAGCCTAGAGATGACCCTACCTAGACAGTCAAGAGTCGGAAACTTGGTGAATTGGTGTTATGTTTTGCTCTGACCAGTGCTAACACTCTTCACATAGTTTCATATCAATCGACAGAATTCTCATCGAACAAGGTTGATGACTCGGCATGCGTAACGCATGTCCTGACCACTATTTCAACCGATGCAGCCCCACAAACCTCATCGATTGATTTTCCCTTATTATCCCCTCACACTCTACGCCTAACCTTATGTGATCACTTATCGTGTCGGTTCATCTAACATGCCAGGTTGAACGGAAAACAGTTGATCTTCTCATATTTTTCACTTCCCCACCACCATCTGTCATAGATGCTTAGTAAGATGATCTGAACTTCTGGATCCTGCCCACAACACATACTCCCAGAATAGGTTTTATTGTCATTCTATCAGCTGTGGTAATGGGACTATTCTGCAGCAACATGTTTGAGTAGAGTAGTAGAGAATTAGTATTTCTTTCCATCGATCCTATCATTGAATATTCAAACAATCTCATATTTAATTTCTTCTGCATATTTTAATTAGATACATACTTTTTGTTCTCTGACTGATCTATCTTCACACACTAACAGTGATATCTGATTTTGAAAAATAAAGTTTTTGTAATGTAAATATCATCTATCCCGAAAAACGAATATGCGATCATGTTTCTTTGTTCATATAATCATCAGTGTTATTATTTGCACTTCTGAAAACCATTTCGTCGACTTCTGTCGAGTGGAAAACACAGGTTCGGATCTTGGTTGACGAGCTTAATCTCGTCTGGGAAAATAAGAGCGTAGGTGTAGCAACTCTTCCGTGTTGAAAAAGATCTTCTATTGCTTCCTCTTCAATGATTGTTTAGTGCTTTCTTGAATACTCGGTAGTAAAATGGAAGTGGTAACTAATTTGTAATGCCTTTCTTATTTTAATTTTGTTTAGAAAATTAGTTCTAACTGTTATATATATTCAACTTCTGTCTACTTTCAGGACACAAATGCACGTGGTGATGATTCGTTCACTTCTATGACGGCTCCACTGGATCCTACATTGATAAACACACTGTCTCCTGCTTCTAGTACAACAACAGTTAATTGGGGTAGCTCTAGTACTACTACTACTACTACTACCACGACAACTGGTCAGTCGTCAAGTAGTACCTATGGTCGTCAACATCCTGGCTTGACAATAAACACAACAACCGCTAATCCACAACAATCATCAATGCCTTGCAGTGATGTGAATAAACAACAAAAGACCGGTTTAATTGTTCTCGGCAAATTAGATGCTTTGCGATATTTAATTGATTTAGTTGGCACTTATAAATCTGTTGCTGAATTTATTGCAATGTACAAACATAAACACGCTGAACACCACCACCACCACACTGTTGCTGGCAAGTCGACCACTACTGACACCTCGTTGTTGTCGTCGCCATCGTTCTCCTCCTCTCCAAAATGTTCATTCCTGTCCTATTTATTCAGTTACCAATTAACTGATCCTGCAACTACTGAGGTTACAATGTCCTTATTAGAAAATTTAATTATCATTAGTAGTGAATCTGTTCAACGGTTGATAATTAATGAATTCAAAGCATCACTTAGTCGTATCGGTGTTAAATCTTTACCATCATCATCATCATCATGCGATGATATCAAATCAGATAGTGTCTCATCAATGAAAAATGATCGAATCAGTTCACATATGATGTTTTTAATACGCCTACTCTCCTTACCAAAACCACTGGTTATGCCTATACTACGCCTATTGTATAAGCGTAGAATTTCAGCAGATATTGGTAAATTAATTGCCATAATTGGGTGTAATCTGTCGAATACACAGTCGACAATTAGTTATATGTTAAGAGCACTAGAAAATTTCACTTTAGTCTATCGTGAATATACTAAATTGTATTCTCAGTCGTCGTCGTCGTCTAAACAACAACAACAATCAGGAGTAGGGAATAATTCTGTTGTTGTTGGTCGACAAGTGATAAACCCAGCTTCTACTACGACATCATCTGCTGCTGCTGCTGATAATGATCATAGTGGACCAGTACCAAGTAATAGTGCTGCTGTTCAATTAATGATGACTGGTATTCATGATGATGATAATGTTCAGCATAGTGTTGTAATTCATGGATCACCAACAACAAATCCGCGAAGAATTGAAGCATCAAGCATTAGTGGTGTTAGAGATTCAGAGATTCAGTCTGTTCCTGGAAATAATAACACTTCTAGAGATTTTGAAACTGATTCTGATGATGATGATGAAGAAGACGATGAAGATCAAGAGGATAATGATATCACTATGTTAGTAGATCATCAAGAAGAATTTTCACATCCAGTAGAGAATGTTGAAACAGCGTTTAGTGGTGGTTCTGTTGTTGTTGGTGGCGGTGGTGCTGGTGGAGCTTCTTCTTCTACTGGTTCCAATCTGTCTCGTGTTCTTAGTGATGTTTTGGCTGCTGATATGGTGGTAATTGCTACAGATCATCATCACGGTGAAAATAATGTTCGTCAACCTTGGCATCGCGTCTCGAACTCATCAGATCCAGAGGCTAGATCGGTGATATTTGTCTATGATGATGAAGATGAAGGCAGTTCTGGTCAAGGCGCTGAAGGGAACAATAGTCAAGATGATGAAGAAGAAGAAGAGGATGATGAGGAAGACGATGTTCTGGAGGCAGAAGAAGGAGACGAGGAGGAGGATGACGATGACGAACATGTCGACGAAGAGGAGGAAGAAGATGAAGACGGTGAAGATGATGATGATCCTGAGGTAGAAGGCGATGATGGTGATGATGTAGATGTTAGTGGTGAGGATGACGAGGAGGTCGCGTTTGTACTCAGTAGAAATCGTAGACCTAATACTAATCGAGTTCGACCTTCTGGTATGTCTAGTCCTCATCGACGTCGTCGTCGTCATCGAATAGATCCTGCTACTATTTCTTTGACTGTTACTACAAGTCGATCTAATAACGATCGTAATAATCAAAATCCTGAATCTCATCATAATAATGATGACGATGGAGATATGCATGATGAAACCGGCAATATTGTACTTCATGACGATACTCATGTTGTGGACGCTAGAAGCTATGAGGGAGTAGATATTGATGATTATTCAGAAGCAATACAGGACACTATAAGAGATGATATAGCCATCATTTTACCTGAGGTACGCGGATCACGTGGAAGTCATTCAGTGTCAACTGTTATGGAACAAGCTCTCCGTCGAGTTGTCGGTCCCACTTTGAGTGCACTTGCAACTAACGGCCTTAGAGATATTGGAACAACTAGTTTATCAACTATCAGCCAGTCTAGAGGTGGTAATTCAGGCAATTGGGATTTGCTTTTCCCAAGTTTTACAAATTTTATCGCCGGTGGTGATGGTCCTAGACGTAGTGCTGTGGACAGTGGTAACTCTACATTATCAGGTGCTGCTGTTTTCCGTATCAATCCAGACGTGTCTGTATATGTGCCGGGAAACAATGCTGGTGGTCGTTTTGGTTCATCTGGTGGGAATGTAGTTTCTTCTGCAAATAATCAGCTGTCTCAATCTCCTCAGATATTGCCAACTGCTACAATAGCTAATCAACATCCTTTGCTTCAGGTTCGCTTTATTATTTTTTTATAATACCACATTTTAGTAATTTCTTTAGTAATAGTATTATGGTGTAGTTTTTTCATCACAATATCTAACGTTTTGTAGGTTGGTTAAATCTTGGATAAATGTTGGAGTAATTAAACAATTACTCAAGTCACTTCTGCTATCGCCCCCCCCCCCGTATTCCGATTATTTAACAATAATTTTTCCTAAAGTTTCAAGTTGAATATGGCACTATAACAGGACGTGTCTGTTTTATCTTGTTTTGCTGCAGTTCTCTTAATCCACTGTTGCTCATAACCCCTCATCTCCATGTTAGACGATATGCTCTTGGTTGGTTTGTTGCTAGGTTTCCTTGTTAAGTGTCATTTCTGACCGGCTATCTGATCTTAACTGTGTAGAGCGAAGGTAGCTGCTGACAGAGAAGCGTGAAGCGTGTCGGAGACACTTTTGATCACGCATTAACTTCGTCAAGTTCCCTACCGGTTCCCGAGTCTGGAAAAACACGGAAAGTTTAGCGTGAAGCTAGTGACGCTTCCCTCAGGAAAACAAACCAAATCTATGCAGAAACTTCAATGCAGTGAAAAAATTAATTAGAATTGATACCTACATGGCAAAACTTAGTACAAAATCTTATTTCACTGTTCCAAGTATATTATTATTATTACTATTGCAAATTCGATGCATTCCGAATGAGACAGCAGTGCATATCCCTAGCACTCGGTTCTCTGACGACATTAAAATTAATCCCATATGATTCCATCTAATCCCCATACATGTCGCCCTCAGACTCCAACTCAACTTGTCGCTTCCTATCCTGATACCAGTCGAATTGTCAGCATGTAACGTGACTTGTAAGTCTCTTCAGAGTATGTCATATCCATCTCCTTTCCTCCCCCTGTTTATTCGTTGGGCAAAAAAAAGTTAGTTTGCAAGGATTTGATTGTTACAGGATTGATTGCGAGATGGCATTGGTTAAAGAGCCATTGGAAAAAACCTGGGAGTACCGTACATCTGTTTCGTCCCAGCTTGCGACTCTTCACTAGCACACATCCATCGTGTTTCGAATCCCAGGACTTTCCGGTTACGAGGCAAGCTCCTAGACCATTAAGTCTCTGAGACCTGAGCCATTGGTCCATGAATCCAACACCTGCTAATTCGTGGTATATATTTAGCGAGACCGCCAACCAATGTCACGAGCGAGTAACTCTCCTCTTGCCTGACTTCGTGAACCCCGCTGCCTACGACTTCTTGGTATAGCCCCGGGTACTTCCGTTATCGGGTCAGTTGCTACTAGGCATCATATTAATTGTCAAGGGTTGATTTACATTGGTGGCACAGCCATAGAGAGCTAACTAACCACGCAGGTGTTTCGGTGTTCGATATCCAGCCGACGCGCTATTTTACCTCACTAAGCCAGTTAGAAAACAGGTAATGAGTGAAGGTTGGGCAGGGGCTAGCAGTCACATCCTCTAAGAATAAATATCAATGCTACCGAAACTTCAAACCTCTAGCTTGAAGCCTTATGCTTCCACTGAAAATGTAAAGAAATAAAAAGGGTGGTTTGCAGGAATTTGGCAGAGGTTGTAATTCATGGACCATTGGGTTGGGTCTCAGTGGCTTGCCTCGTAACCGAAAGATATCGAGTTCGAAGCCCTATGGATGCGTGCTGTGAAGAGTCGCAAACCAGGACGAAAAGGATGTCCGGTACTCCTAGATTTCCCAGTGGTTCACTTACTGACGCAACCGCTAGTGACCTACACTAGTGACACAACCACGAAGACTCTAAAACATACAGGACCACTGACATTAGTGTTGCAAATTTGAATGGTGTTCGTTGTCCAAAGCGCTGTAGACCAGTGTAAAGGACACCTGTCGTGTTTTCCTCATTCCGGCTATAGCATGCTCATCCGTGCCATTGCCTTTATTTAAAACTAAGTTCTAAGTGGACAGCTAAAGTTGTACTCAAGAAATGTGTTACCATTCAACCAAACCCTAGTAGTTACATTTTGCCGAAACGTTGAAAACACTTCTGTGGTTTGAAGGTGTATGATTTTCCTCATTATTTGAAAATCAATTTGTCTTTGGTGATCATAATGATAATAACTAATTCCGGAATAGAGAAGCCAGTGTCAGCAGAGTCGTGTTCATTATTTGCAAATTTGTAGTGCGTTTTCACTCAGTTGACTGTTTCAACACAACCGTGATATAATTAGCATTTTTAGCAAATGGTTTGTTCATGCCATTTTCATTTGTAAATATTTTTTTTATCATTTAAGGTACCTACTGCTGCTAGTGCTAGTGCTGCTCCTTCAACGCATAGTGTGAATGTTGGAGTATCTAGTCGTAACGCAGGTTCTAATGGTTTACGTTTAACAGGCCGACCAATAGTGACCAACACTATGTCAACCTCAAATCGCGTAGTAGCACACTTACCACCAATACCGCAACAACATGTTCCACCACATTATGGCACCCGTCATCGGATAGCTGGGCCTCACCCTTCTTCTTCCAGTAACGGTGGATGGCGTTATCACACCGTAATAAATCGACTGTATGGTACAGAATCTGATGTAGATCATGCAATCTCATCTGGTGGATCTAACAGTCACTCTCGTAACCCAGTTACCAGTGATGCTCGAGATAATCGTTCTGGACCTGAAGCTAATGAACTCGTATGGTCAATGTTAACAAGTCTTGCAGAAGATCAACCTTCTCCTGCTAATTCTGCTTTAGCTGCAGCTGTCTTTTCTAGATTTCTTTCACCGCTCAATAGAATTCAACAGGGAGTGATGGATGTTAGTTCTAGGGGGATTAATCATGCCCAACTGATTCCATATGCAGGATACGCCCTACCACCTCACTATCGACGATGGATTAATCTTTGTCGAATGTTATTTGGACATGAAATCATGGATATTATTCTTCTCAGTCGCCATCATATTTATAAAGTGCTTGAGGAAAGGCGTCATGAAGTGTTCAAGCTACGTATTGCCGAAAGCGAGGTGGCTAATAAATCGCCTGTAGTTACTAGCTCTCCTTGTGAGCCAACAGTTGCAGCTCCCGCGCTAGCATCATCTATTAGCCAGCCCACTACTGAGTCTACTGAAACTTCTGTCACATTTACTAATCCAGTGGTCACTAATGTGGTGGTAACTCTCGGAAATTCTGATAATACAGGAGATTCTCCAACAGAACGTACAACTACTGCTCAGGTTCCATTGACTCCAGATGTTGTAAGCCCAGTTGAAACGCTTGAAATTTCATCAAACAGTGAAGTACCTAGTACTGCTGACCAACGTAAGTCACGTTTTCCACTTTCCTTTCAGGAAAGTAGGTTTTCTCTATATGTGGCAATATGGACTATATGTTTAACTAAACAGATTCGATAAATATACATGTACTCCAGTCATCATACATTTTTTCCATAGTGGCATGTTATTTAATCTTTGGCTCTACGTACATTCTTACGTATTCATTTAAATGCTCAGATTAATATTTCGACGGAGGTATTTGCATTACCTCTATATTAATATAGGGAATACTTAGCTATATATATCATTTAGAATTTGAAATGGGTAATCCTCTCCTAGTAAATTTGGATAGCGTTATTGTCAGAATAAAAAAGCGCTTAGTCACTGAAAATTGTTGTTGGATTCCCCTAAACAGACAACCATGTATCCAGCCTCAGTGAGTGTTTAGTGAGATTAAACTTTTCACAGTTAAGAAAATTATCATCATCATTATTATTAATCGTCTGGTGCATTTCGAAGTGGAACGTAAGGCTTCAGCTGCCCATCTCCTTTGTATTGCCTTCTTTACCGTCTTGTACGTATCTCCATAAAGAATCAAATAGTCTTTTAATTCCCCTTCACATGTTGTCTTCTATATCTTTCTCTGAACTACGCCTAGGTTGGCTCGCTAGCGTATGATATATCATTCAACAGTTGTTGACCTCCACACAGACTTGAGAGTAGTGAAAGCTTGTCTTGCTTTTCAGATTCTTGCTTTGATATCCTCGTCAGTTCCGCCCACCTGTAGTTGAAACGATGCTTCCCATGTCGGTAGGTAAAGGAGGTTGTTTCTTTCAGGTTCCTTCCATTTATGCTGATTATTGTCAGTTTTTGTTGTTGCTGTTGGTGGTGTTGCCCAGGAATTTTCATCACCTCTGTTTTATCTATGTTCACCTGAAGTCCTGTCTTTGATGCCTGTTCTGCCAACTTGTTGCTTTTCACCTGCATATCTTCCAGTTTGTGGGAAATGAGACATATATTATGATGGGCGAAGTCCAGATCCGCCAAGTTTTATGTGTCAGTCCATTTTATGCCTGTTTCCTCATTGCCCGCTGTTTGTCGCATTATCCAATCTACTGCAACCAGGAAAATCATTGGGGATAGTAGGCAGCCAGCTTGTCTTACTCCTGTCTTCACTTCGAAGGGTTCCGTAAGTTTCCCGTTGTGGATTACTTGGCATGCAGCATTGTCGTACAGCTGTTGGATGAGATGTGTAATTGTCGGTGGCACTCCATAGTAGCGAAGTAGTTTCCAAATCACCTCTCGATCGACGCTGTCGAATGCCTTTTCAGAGTCGATGAAGTTGAGATAGAGAGGTGACTGCCACTCCAAGCTTTGTTCAATGATGATCCTTAATGTGGCGATTTGATCAATGCATGCAATGACTTTCTCTTGAATCCAGAATATTGTTTTGAGTTTTAAAAAATGTGCTTATTTAATTGTTTGTTTTATTTCAATTTCTTTACTCAACAGACTTGGAAGAATCATCGAATACTGCTACTACTACTACAGCTGGTCAGAGTGAAACTCAACCTGCAACTAGTACAGCAGAAAATATATCTAATCTTGTAGTATCAAATATTGCACCAACTAGACCACCTGTAATGATGACTGACGAAGAAACTATTCAATCATTAGTTGAAGGTGGAATGGATCCATCCTTTTTAGATGCTTTGCCTGAAGAAATGCGACAGGAAGTAATCGCTGATCATCGATATGCAAGACAAGTCCAGCAGCAGATAAATTCAATGTCATTACCGGAGCATATTAATTCAGAATGGTTGACTGGTCTTCCACCGCATATCCAAGAAGAGGTAATTCATATAAATTCTTTTTTTTTCTATTTCGATATGGAGCTTAGGCTCATTGCTGGTTGGCCTGGGCATCCGGCTTCCAACTACCTATCGGAAACGAGGGGAAGTGAATTAGCTTCACGTAACCACATGGATCAAGGGGTGGTTCACCTTGTGTGTGTGTGTGTGTGTGTGTGTGTGTGAACCTTTTGAACGAAATATCTTTTTATAGGGTTCTTATTGTTGTAAAAAAGTTGTGTTCCTTTCATCTGTTAACATACAAAATTCACTGATTTCATGTTTTTCAGGTATTGGCACAATTTCGTCAAGAACAACAACAACAACGTCAGTCTTCAGCACAACCAACTACTCAGTCGACTAACGCCAATCCAAGTGAACAACCTACTCAACCAGCGACTTCACAGAGTAATACTGATAGTAATACAGCTTTCTTAGCTTCTTTACCGCCTTCAGTGCTACGTGAAGTGTTGGCTGACATGGAGGAGTCACAGTTTGAAACTCTACCACAACACCTTGTCACTGAAGCTAACCGACTACGTCGTGAACATGAAGAACGTTATGCCCGTGCTGTTCAAAATGGTCTTCTGTCTCATTCGACTGATACAAGACCTGATCGTAAGTGGCTATTATGTGATATTTCTTAAATTATTTAAATTAATCCGTTTTCATAGGATATATATATATATGCATGTATATTCCTTGTCTTCAAGGTTGGAATTGTTACCCAACGCCCAACCTCCCAGCTTTTCCTAGCCTACTGCTAGGTAGTGAACTAGAGTAGGTATTTGGGAGTTCATCGGCCAGGAATGGAAACCGAAGTTTTCGACAAACCCGTCCCGTAACTTTTAGGTTCTTGTTTTAATCGCTAGTTAGAATCAAACTTGGGCGTCCAGCGTGATTGGCAGGTGCATATTTTACCATTGAATCATCGGCATATGTTTGTAGTCATCTTGCCTAGTTTTAACAGTGTCATTGCTCTCTCTCTCTCTTGTGTTTTAGACTTTCAGTTTTCTTTTCTTGAACTTTTGGTTTCCTTTTTTTCTTCTTTTCTAAAAAAATCCGACAGATATTTGGCGTAATTTTACCACAGCGTCGGGATTAATCGGTGGACATGGCCGATGGGATGTTCGATTTAATTCCATCAATCAGTTTCTACGACATCTTGATAGTGTTGGAGTTTCATTAGGTTCAAATAATTCATTAGCTGGTCGTTCAGCTGCAGGTATATGCGGTCGTGAATTAGTTGATCATGAAGGATTAACATGTATAATTGTTGTACTTATATCTATGTCAACATGTTCTTATCATAAGAAACATATTGTACCAACAATCAAAAGGGTAAGAAAATAGCATGCTTATTTTGGTAATATATGTTGTTTCGTATAGCTGAATACGCTTTAATAAACTGCCTTTAATATTCTACCATTCAGTGATAGCGCATCATACAGGTACTAATGAGCTTGTCCCTAGTTGTCTACTTGAGTGACTTATAGACTTACTTGTTACCAAAAAATAGTTTTGTTGACTTAGCTTATGCAGACAGTGTTTGTCTTACTAGGTGAACTGCAGAGTCTTCTTCTCCTGTGGAATTTAAGATGGTACTGCAAGATTGGTGCGCACTAACGCCTAGTTTAAAGGCAGGGAGTAAGTAAATTGGTTGAGTGTGTTGACTGCGTCAGTTATTTCGGAGAATTCATCAACCCTGATGGACTGATTTTGGACGAAATCTTGGCGCGAATAAAAAACAAACTCGTACATCATTTGCCGACTTATATCATCTCTATTGTAGACGTGATATTTGACTATCGACCACAGTTCGCTCTATCCTTCTTCATAGCTGTGAGACATGGACATCAAAAGTTGAAGATTTGAAGAGTTTAACTGTCTTTGATGACATGTATTTACGTTCTGTATCTCATGGTTAAGTGATATAGCATAATGGTGATGTGAAGATTGTCGCCGCAAAGTATTAGATATGGAGGGAAGGTCAGATGATGAGGTGGCGAAGCGGCATCCATTGTGTGATGGTTGGTTGTCACACTCATGACTTCCACACCGGGCAACGTTAGCTGACATGGGGCGCTCAAACTAAAAGCTTGCATCAGCCCACAAAGTCTGTGACTGTTGATTTAAACCTTGCCTTGTTATACGGTTAAACAATCGTTAAAAAAATCAGATCCTGCTCCATGTACATCAGCCTGAAGGGGACTGTGTATAGCTAGCTCATAACTTGGTATATGAAAAATTTGTCTCGATTAACTGAGTTCAAAGAAATAATTTTTTTGATACTAACTACTGCTAATCTTTTTAATCTTGTGAAACTTATATTCATCCTAGCAATTTGTAAGTTTATTGGTAAAAGCCAATCTCACCTTGAGCTGCTGTGTAAATTGCGAATTTGGTGTTCATGGGCTTTACATTTTGCCCATATAGGTAGGTAGGTAGTCGCAAATCAAGCGGTTTGAATTGATTCAGCTGTCTCTAAGTTGGATCAACCACGGGCAAATCCGTGAAACTGTTGTTCGGTGTCCAGATCACATTGTTCTGTGATTGACAGTCACTACTACTGACTGATGTGTGAGTAGTGTGCACAACTGCTCATCTCAGTCAACCACTAGTATGTAATTGTTATGCACTCATATGCTTGTTTAATTGGGTTGATCACCATTTAATTTCGGTTAAATTTCATTTTGAACTGTGTAAGTTGTGGATTCGATCTATGGAACATATTTCTCTTCACTATCTTGCATATACCACTTAGTATTAGGATGTACACGTATATTACTGCATTATTTGTACTAATTATATCATAGTCTCTTTTTTACATCAAATTTCTAACATTTCACTGTCTAGGTTCTGCGTAATCTCGCGTGTCATACTAATACACGAAATTGGATTGTCAATACACTTATATCATTATTTAATGGATTGTGTGAAAAGCCATTGTCGTCGCATTCACGATTGACTCATTCTACAGACAATTACGAAATGATAACCAGTTCAAGTGGTATGAATCAATCGTCTTCTTTAATTACAACAAAGGAAGGGGAATTCGATTATTCTTATAAATCTGGATCAAATGCTAAGAATAATACCTTGTTTAATGCTGGTTTTGAAGCTGCTTTAGGTTGTTGGGTTAGAATTTTTCATCCTATTTCTCAAAATCCAACAGTATCATCATCTAGTCAGTCACAGAATGAGACTCATACTGCTGTAGGCTCCTCGAATTCAACCAATCCCGTTCGATATATTATTCATCCACAAGCAGCAGTTTCTGTTGCCGGTGTTCTCTTAGAAACACTGAATGAATTAACTCAATCATTCCCATCGCATTTCTATCCAGCTGAAGCATCCCAGATATCAGAAACAACAAGTGATGTGAAATCACTGCCATTGTCATCGTCATCATCATCATCTCGTGTGGGGACTTCACAGAACACAGATAGTAAGTAATTTTCATTCAATATTATTATTTATTGTATATCAATGAATTGGTTATGATGTGTGTCCTTCTGACAACCATGAATATCAGATTAATGCCTCCTGAGGATTCATCATGCGATTTCTAGGAGGAAATGAAAATTTTGACCTGTGAATTATTAATCTTATTATTATTATAATTATTGTTCCTTTGGGTTCCTTGTGGAACATAGGGAACACATCTCCACTTGCTTCTGTTTTCTGCTGCACTTTCACTTGCATCCATGTTAGTCCATACTGTTTCAACTCCTCTTCACACGATCTCCTCCATGTCACCCTTGGACGTCCTTCTCACCGCTTCCCTCCAGGGCCTGACGTGCGATGTCACTCAACGGCCTCCTCAGCGAGTGTCCAATCCATCTCCACTTTCTCCTGCATATTTGTTGGGCGATTGGTTCTTGTTTTGTTTGTTCCCACAGTTTCTTGTTGGTGATGCTTCCCGGCCATCTGATCTTGAGGATAGAGCGAAGACAATTGTTGATAAAGGTCTGCAACAGGCTGTTGGAAATATTCTTTGTGACCCGCCAAGTTTCCGGTCCGTATAGAAGAACTGACTCACTTGACGTTTGTATTGAAAATCGGAATTTTGTTGTTGATGTTGAGTGACGAAGATTTCCAGATTGGTTTGAGGTTGATGGATGTGTTTCTCGCCTTCCTGATTCTCGATTTGACATCTTCGTCCGTTCCTCCTGTAATTGAGGCAATGCTCCCTAGATAAGTGAAAGAAGTAACCTCTTTCAAATCCCTCCCGTTGATGGTGATTGGCGCTGGATGTTTCTGCTGCTGTTATTGTTGTTGGTTGGTTATTTTCATAACCTCCGTCTTGTCTATGTTCACCTGGAGTCCTGTCTTTGCTGGTTCTTCGACCAGTTTGTCGGTTTTTGCTTGTAAGTCTTCGATTTTGTGTGACATCAAACATAAATCATCCACGCGCGAAATCCAGGTCTTCTAGGTTCTTCACGTCGGTCCAGGATATCCCTGTCTTCTCGTTTCCCACTGTCTGACGCATAATTCGGTCGACCACAATTAGGAATATCATTGGTGATAATAAGCACCCTTGTCTGACTCCTGACTCCAATGCTATGTTTAAAAGCGGTCATAATAGCACCTATCTGAAATTTATGATATTTCATAGGGCTCAAGTTCTATTCCTACATGAATTGTGTCATTTATAATTTTGTTCCGTGAGATCCATGGCTTTAGTGGTGAACACATGCTTCTGAATTCGTTCACTGTTTCATGATCCTAATATTACGGGTGGGACTAGTTGGACAAGGGTGGGTGGTCAGCACATCACGTTACACTATAGGATGAAGAATAGTTGTCTTAAGTTAGCACTTGTTAGTAGTAGTGCATCACTATTTCCTGGAATGTCGTCAGAGGGATTATCCTGATTAGAATGAATCAATAAATTAGTATTTCACGACTCCTTGAAACCTCGATGAAAATCACACCCCTGGTTCATGAAGTTTTAATAACAGGGATTCATTCATTTTCTTTGCATTCCCTTGTACCGATGTTTTTCTCAACTATGCGGTATTCGAATGTCGTGTATAGAAAGTAAATTCGTTGTGTAAATATGAATATATACCTCGTTTCAGTGTCTTATTCAATAAGTCTTTTTTTTGCTCTCATTGGTTTTTCCTGTCACTAACGCAAATTTTTTTCCCATTTCCAAACTTTTCTTTTAAAATGAAAAAAATGCACCCTTTAGTTCCTACTACATCTTTCTGGGATATATTCAGTCGACTTTCTCAATCCAATACAACATCTCCTACTAACAGTACCACTGGGTCTACACCAACACGTCCTTCAATCCGTCGAACACGAATATCGTCAAGAAAACGACCTCTGTCAATTTCTGACAAACAGTCGAATGATTCACCTCAAGAGCCTACATCTTCTTCAGTGAAAATATCTGTAAATCCGTATCATTCATCATCTCAGTTAACTGCCATGGAAACATCATTTACCACTGGTAAGTTATATATTGTGGTGTTCCTCTTGTTTATTTGGCAATAACAACACTGTACATAGCTTATAATTGCATAGTTAAATAAACTTCAAGCGCCCGCCAATCAGCGAATGACCTTGGATGCACCAATCACATGAAAGATTACTTTTTGGATGTCAACCACATGTATTTATGAAAAAAATGCATTAAAACAATATAAAAGTATTACAGAGGATACCTTTCTTTTATATGTAATAAAAACAACTTCCAGTTTAGCACAGGAGTATCAATAGAAAAGTTACACCACATTTCTATACATACATTCATCTAAATGACTACAAATAACATCCTATTGCGATCCATTAATAGGGCTCTAATCCGAATTTTTAATCCTTCTCAAATCGTCCCACATCTAAGAGCAATACTGGGAGACTTGGTCTTCACCAAAATTTCAAACGTAACTCTGTTAGAGCAGACATTTGACACGAATCAAACGGAATAAAGGCTTCAACTCACGTGAATAAAATCCATTGGGCCACTCAAGGCCATTGGTGTGGACGCACTCCGTTGGTAATTGTTGGCGTTCGAAGTTTAACTTATCTTCGTGCTACTTGTACGTCATAATTTGACGAATCAGTATCAACGAAATAGCCTTTTTATTCTTTTTGGGTTCCGAATGAAACATTGACCTTCAAGCGGGAGCTTTGATGTTTTAATTTTTTAAATACTTTTTTGATTATAGCTGGATTCCAAACCGTACTTTTGGTACAAGTATGGAATTTTCAGCATGGATATCGGTAGCCCAAATTTTGTAGGCCTACCATTGATATTAGGTGTGTGTCGGCAAGGGATCGAACCCTAGACCATGTGCGCATGGTTGGCGAGAGTCCTAACCACTGTGCCGCCGACGCACAATGCTGTTTCTTTTTTACAGGATGAGGTTGCTAGTCTTACACCCAACCCTCCCACTTCACCGGCCTTAACATCAGCTAAGCGAGGTTCAGGGGTGCGTCAATCGCCGGGAATTGAACAGCAAAGCACTTACGTCGTTGGTGAGTGTTCTACCTCTGATCCACCGAGACCAAGGAAATAATTGGTCACCGTCAAATAATGCAATGTGAAAATCTGGAAACAAAGGCACCCGAAAAGACTAAACTTTCGGTTACATGATAGTCTTTCAGTCTTTCAATTTTCTCGCAATTGGTTTAGCGTACAGTACAGATTATTATTTTCTTTATATTAATGCAAATGATATTGATGGTATTACGTTTTAACTATTCATATCGGTGGAACCCTGTTTGCAATATTAACGAGTGATTCATTTTCTCCACAGTTAGGTAGTATAGAGCCCTAAATTAAGATTCTGAATAACCTGAAACTCCCTTGTAGCATATGCAATTACCTGAAGTGTTCGAATGGGAAATTGTGACCGGCCGCCAGTCGTGCCAGCCAATCTTCCTTTTCTTGCATGTTTTACTACCGACTGAGAGAGGTTAAGCAGTGAGGCGATCTAACCCCCCTTGGACCACCACGTGTGAATGCTTGGCGAGTATTGTACTGCTGAATTGTTGACACATTCATGTAACACTTTTTACCTAAATTTAGCCTGGTTTAATTATTACTCAGATAGTGTTTCGTTTTTCTTTCCTTACAATTTTTTTGCAATTTTTCCTCATTTGTCTGTCTCTTCTATCTACTTTTAACAAATCGTATTTGTTATAACAGAGAATACAGAAAGTGAATCTGTCAAAGAAGCACACGATGCTGCTAAGCAAAACGCCTCAAAGTCGACACCAAATTGTTTCATTGCGCTATCTGAATTACTCTGTCATCAAATGTTACACGACCGGCCAGTGAATCAAGAACGCCTGGTCATAATTCTTGCGGGTATTGTGAAAGATTTTCTGCTTAGCCGATCACATTCCGATATATCTGTTGCACGGGCTTCAACGCATCCAAATAATTTAATCACGCCCACCACTACTGTCAACACACTGACTGACAGTTCAAATCAACAGGTATGCGAATTTGTCTATTTTTTGCTTGGGTTTTTCTTTGCATACGCACAGTCTTCAGTGCTTTTATATGGGACTTTTTCGTTCTGTTTTCATCACTAGTGTTGCCTGTTTAGTGGTGGGATCCAGGGTGCACTTATCGTCCTGTTTGGAAGTTGTCGGCAGGATTCACCTGCATCCTATTAAGTATTCGTTTTCCAGTGACACTTCAATCTATCATCTGTCGTTTAAACACCGAAATGTAATCCACTAGGTTGCTAATAAGTGTCTTTACGCAACAAGTATTGACTATTATATTTGGAAACTTGACTAGCAGGGGAATCCAGGATGTGTCTTCACGGCGCATTATCGAAACGTCTGTACTACGAATCGATAAGCAAATAATGATAGAGCATTTCATCCACCGAAATCACCCAACAGAGAATTTTAAAAAGTTCCAAACAACGTAGTTACTTTGTTTTAATGTTAAGTCCGCTAATATCATACAAGCGCGATTCGTAAATTATTACGTTTGGTTAACCGGCTGCATTATTTTAATCACATAGGGCTTCAAGATTTGAAGTTTTTGTATCTATGGTGTAATTTTAATAGGGGTTGCTAGCTTCACGTGGAAGTGTCGTTTTTCTCCTGGGTTCCTGGGTTAATAAACTAAGCGAGTGCCCCTACCGGCAACTGCACCTCGACTATGTGCGTGGTTGGTGAACATTCTACCAGATGAAGCCGACAACACCGCGTATTCCCTACCCGTCACTAATGCACATATCAACCGAGCCCAGTGGTGTTCGGGCAAGAACTACTTTATTCAACGTTGTATGGTAGCCGATTGTCTCATTCATACTGTACTGTACACGAATAATTGCTTTTGGCTGAACTTTTTACGATTATTTTGATAAGTAATAATTTGACTTGTAAGATGGTGTTAATTAAAATCAGAGACAAAGCAGAATTCTCAAAAGGTTTCGATGAGCAATATTACTTAGAAATCTAATCTAAACCCAGAAGGTCCTGGGTTCGAATCCCAGTGATTGCGTACTGATGAAGAGTCCCAAACTGGGGTGAAACAGCTGTCCAGTACTCCCAGCTGGTTTTCCAGTGGTTCTCTAACTAATGTCAGCTCATGATGAAAATCCTGTAACCAATCAAATCCCTACAAACCAACACTTGAAAATCTAATTTTCTTTTCCACTTCCCTTGTGGTGGTGGTGTCATTCGTGGTTTGTCATACAAACTATCGATGCAAATCTGTGTAACCTCATGAAAACGATAACATAACATTTGTGTCTACAAAATAACCAGGAGTTTCCGATTCCCTTACGAACAACAACTGGCTTTTACTAACTTGCTTCATTTTTTATATAAAGAATCTCTGTTGGATGATATTGCAGGTTTCTTAGTAGATTTGAAGTGGGGTTAAGATTCATTGATCTATTCACGTGACTTCCAACTACTGAGTCCACCCACCTGGTTTTGAACTCCATTCCACATTCTGAGGTTTGAGCAGCTAGTTGGTTTGATTAAGCCTATCATACAACGGTTTCCTATTACCAATTGCATGATGGCACTGCCGATGGTTGTTGGTTAACATAAAAATAGGTCTCAGTAACAGCAGTATAACTATGAGTCACCATTTCCTTTATTACTCTGCCTTTTCTCTTGTCCACCTTCTCCTAAGAAATTGTGGTTAAACTTCTGTCTCAACGAGTCGGCGTTTGGTGCTTCAGCGTACAGGGATAGAATGCTCACCAATCACGCACGTTTTCCGCATTGAATCCCCGGCCTCCAACTTACACCTATACCAAGCTTAGCCGATAATATGCCCGATAAAGAGGGAAGATAGGGAGTGTAGCTAGCACCAGTACTAGTGAAACCTCAGAGCTCAAACTGAAAGTTCTGTCTTCAATTCGAAAACCAAAAACGAAGTGACATATACGCGTCACAGTGGATGATGATGATGATATTCGCAACAAAATCCAGTTGGCCAAATTGTAATAAGGGAATTTTCATTGGGTATATATAAACAATAAGGAATGCACATTCAAAACTTTGTTAATACCCACAACAGATTAAACAGTATCTAAATACACATAGTGATAATAATCTTCTCTCTTTTCAAAATCTAGGACCCCACTGACAATCCTGTAGACCAACCAACAACTTCATCATCTGTCACAAACACCTCACCAGCTACACCTGTCCCAGAAACTCAGTCATCTGTTGTATCAACACATTCTACTACTTCAACTATTGCCAGTCCACCGAATGATCTTATGGATCCTTTAAGACCACATGTTATTGAAGCTATATGCCAGTTGGTGTTAGCTCCAAAGTTTACTGAAAGTGCACGTGCTATAACATCACAATTATTAACTGATCTTGCTCAGTCGAATCACCTTATGAAAGAGACAATTCTACGTTTGTTATGTAACACAGCTGGTCAATTGATATCAAAAATATCTATTCAATTACAGGTATTATTTTTTTGTGTGTTGTCCAATGCATTGAGTTCATTTGTTCTGAGGTTCTTTTTTTGTTCTTGTTTAATCCTTTGCCTTGATAGATAGAATTTCTATTAATTTTGTACTACTACCTACTAAGTTTCAACATAGAACGTTGTACAAAATTGCAGCACTTCAAGTTGCCAAACTCTGTAGCACAAAGGATGAGGGGAATAGTGACATAAGAAGAGATATAAGGGTTTTATTTGTTTTTGGAGATCAGCAAGTGAATGTATCTACGCCATTGATGGAAATTTTGAGCCATTCCGCCAGTAACCTTAAGCCTTTGGTTCTTAGCACACACACCAACCAGCCAAACCGCTGTACACCTCCCTCTATGTGGTTGAAAACAGCTGTCCAAGACATGATAGTTGGATGCTAGATTTTCGTTTGACAACCACAATCTCTTTCCAAGCTGATTCTGCATCATTTAACATTGATATAAGGATAAAACTTGGGCACTGTGGTTTTAGAGTGTAACACTCCACTATGGATAAAATTTTATTTTGATAAAATCACACAATGTTATACAGTAATATATTTGCTGAGGATGTTTCGAGCACAATTTATTACTGCTCATGATCATATCAAGGCACACACATACAATTTTATCCATAATGGAATCACTTAACATTGCTATCTGTGGAAAGAGATGACTGAGCATGCAAATAAAATGTCCTGGTCATCTCAGTTAATGCAGCTTAATAACGTGATCAATTGATTTCTTTTCCTTACCTAGCAGTCCATGCATAACCTGAATGTTGCTCTTAACACTAGAGATAGAACTCAAATACAGCTAGTATTTTCACATCCTTCGCTCTTAACGACTATACTTCACAGCCATAATGAAAGACAGAACGAATTGATGTTCAGTAGATGCGTCCTTTGATGGATAGTGAGATGCGCCTCGTCTGCACTAAAGATGACGTAAATTGGCAAATGCCACACAGGACTTTTGTATGTGTTTTAGAAAAAAAACAGTTGATGTGAGATATTGTTCACCACGTGTATTTCGCTAAAGAATTTCGATGTACAAGTTTAGGGCTTTGGGTGGGGCGGGGGCTAGGTTATGAAATCATTCTTGTAATATAGATTTCGACGTGAAGTTCGTTATTAGTTTTTTCGTCGATTTAGTGCAGTTTTCACTCTTAGAGTAGTAGTAATAGAGTACTGATGAACTAGAATGTGTTATTTTGTGCTCTGGATTTTTGATTCCTCCTCCTTTTTTCTCTTTTCTTTTCCCTTCTAATGCTACTGTTTGTCATCTATTTTTGTAGAGTCTTATACTTGAAGTCGATAATCGCTTGAAAGACGAACTACCTCTACAATCAACTTCAAAGCAGTATCAAAGTAGACCATCTACATCTCGTTATCCACCAGACATAAGTCGCATTTCTTCCTACGACATATTACCTGATCGTTTTGGTTCTCCAGGTCAAATGGTTGTTGTATCAGGTGAAGCTCGTCAACAAGCGGCTGCTAAGTTCACCGATCTCCAGTTAACTTCATCAGAACCTTTCACATATCCTAACAATGATCAATGTCGTCTTCGTGGTGTTTTAGGCTTAATGTTACGCATTGCAGCTGGTGATAGCTCATTAGTTGGAACAAATTTAATCTCTGTGTCATCAAATGATCTTCTAAGCACTGTACCTGGTGTCAATGAATTCTGGAATTATTTATGTCAAGCTTTTGAACGACTACAAGCTTTAAATGATCAAAATGCTGTTCTCTTATTACAGCCTCTACTCGAAGTATTTTGTTTAGCTCATGTTCACTTGCTCAAAGACACTATCCTGCTACGTCAACGTCCAACAAATAATCGATCGAATCGAAGCAATTCCTGTTCCACTGGTGCATCAAGTTTTATTGACATGGTACCTTTATTACATATCTGTGTTGATTCGTCGTCTCAATCAGAATTTGATTCAAACCGATCATCAACTACTGATCATCTTGGACACTTGTATTTCGATTTAGGCGGTCCTCTGTCGCCGAGTGGTACAACTGGAGAGGATGAAGAGTTAACAATCGAAGGCTCTACAACCAGTTGTACGCTTACATCACAAAATTCACAATCTCGTAATCCTATTATACAATTTGCAGACAAGTATCGTCGTGGATTAAGTCAAGTACTTCGTCAGTATGGAGCAAATATTGGTGAATCACCGTTCGCTGTATTCTTAGCTTATCCTCGTGTACTTGATTTTGATGTGAAACGTCGTTTCTTCCGACAACAACTTCAATCACTATCGAATCGTTCATCGTCTAGCAGTCGTCTTGATGATGAACCGATAACCGTGTCAAGGGAACGTATATTTGAAGATAGTTATGCTAGACTTCATAGAAAATCTGTAAATGAATGGAAGCATAAATTTGTTATTCGTTTCCAAAGTAAGCCATTTTTGACTATTATATGTATATATATATATTTTCCTGCGTTACTTTGTAGGGATTTGATTATTTGCTTCAAGTTTCACCACTGACTGACTGATATCAGTTACAGAACCATTGAAAATCAGGGAGTACTGCACAGGTGTTTCGTCCTTGTTTTGGGTCTCATTGGCAGTATGCACCCACTGGGGTTGAAACTCAGGGCGTACTGGTCACAGGGCAGGTTCGTAGACCATTCAACCACTGCGACCCAACTCAATGGCCTGTGAATTTTAACCTCTGTCTATTCGTGATAACCACCAGTCAGTGTCACTGCTTGCGAGTATTTGTCCTCACTCACAACCGGTTGGACTCCACTGGTTACAACTGGTCACTAGAACTGCAGGCAACCTTGTCCTGCAGCTGATCACTGACGCGAGGATCAGATTAATTCCAAGAGTTGGTCAGTAGGTATTTGATTTGTTTCCTTTTCTGTGTGTTGAGGCTCATCTATCCGGAACAGTAATACTACTATGAAAACAGGGGTACCCGAGCAACTGTATAGTATTTTCGGTCCTCATACACACACAATAATTATGTCTCAGCCTACTAACGCCTATGATATTCCTGATTGTGGTGGACTGGATCATGCAGCAGGCCTTTAGGAGACAGGAATACGTCGAGCCAAGAAGGAGACTCTGGAAAATTCGAACTTCGCGGATGATTTATGTCTAATGTCACACAAAGTCGAAGATCCAGAGGAGAAAAACAAATGAGGTGTTAGAAGAAGCAGCAGCGAAGACAAGACTTCGAGTGAACACAGATAAGACAGAAGCGATGAAGGTACCTAACAAACAACAACAAGTACCAATCACTATCACCTTTAGAAATCTATAGGAAGTCGCTTCTTTTACTTACTTGCGCAGCATGGTTTCAACTACAGGTTGCACGGATAATGATGTTGTCAAAACCAGCTGGACAGATCTTTATTAATCTGAAGTGTTGAAATCTGCTTCAGTCAGCATAAAGAAACAAGATGAGGAATTTCAACACTAATGCCAAGTTAGTACTTCTGTATGCTTCAAGCTACAGATGTCCATCAGCAACTGCCTTCTCTTCTTTCTGAAGATCAAATGGCCTGAAAGAACTCTTGAAATTCAATGAAACTAATCAATAATTTACCGTCTGACACATATACCGTAGAAAATGGTGATTGCTTGGACACACTCTGAGGGAGGACCGTTGAATGACATCACACGTGAGGCATACCCTCGAGTGTGAGGGACGACGAGTTTGGCGTGAGTTTTAGGACGATATGGAGAAGATAGTGTGTGTGTGTGAAAAGGAAATAAGTCCTCACGAACAGTCTTGGGACCAGCAATAAAGAGACTACAGATAACTGGGTGAAATGGCAGCATGCTTCTGGAAGCCCCCCCCCCATATGTTCCACTTGGAACCTAAGGGAATAACAACTGCCAGATACCACAAAAAGTCCCCTTTTTTATTATTCTTTGTACATAGATTGTGGCGACTTGAACTGCCGCACATATGTGCAAAGTTCTATGTCGAAAGACCCCTTTTTTATTGTCCTATTTTCAAATGAATTTAATGATTAAACGATCGATTGATTTATCACTATTTATTATGTTTAGATGAAGAAGGTCAAGATGCTGGTGGTCCACTGCGTGAATGGTTTTTATTAATGAGTCGAGAGATATTCAATCCAAACTATTGTCTATTCCGTGTTTCACCAGCTGATCGTGTCACGTATACAATTAATCCAAGTTCATATATTAACAGTAATCATCTGTCATATTTCAAATTTGTTGGACGTTTTATTGCTAAAGCAATAAATGATAATAAATTATTGGAGTGCTACTTTACACGAGCATTTTATAAGCATATTTTAGGTGTACCTGTTAAGTAAGTTTTTTTGGTTTTGGTTTATTCATTCTATCACATAAATTTTGCTTTGTATAATGTAGAAATTGGACACATCAACTTATGTGTTTCACAGATTTGAAGATTACACATCTAAATTTTTGATCCGAATTGATGTGTCCTGTGTGTTTCAAGACTAGTCGGTAAAGAAGCCCTCAATTATCTAGATTTCGCATACGTCAACAGACTGTATCTCTATGACCTGGAATGAGCTGATTTCCATCCAGCTCTGCATTCATTCAGAGACGTTACCACTGAAGTATGTCGGATCATGATCGACCAATGAGTGCTTATATTGACATAAGGATAGAATTTGGGCATTGTGGTAGAGTAGTATACTTCCATCATAGAATAAGGTTATTTGATGTAAAACACACTGTGATACAGTTTGATACAGTATTATTTATTTACTGATGACGTTTCGACCACAATCATATCAAGGTACTCACAGAACTTTCAAACTTTGTGTATATAATTCCATTATTTCTCACCCTTTGATTTCATCGGCGGTAATATTTTCCGTATCTCTGGTATTGGTCTATAGTCATTGCTGTTGCTCTTGTTAGGTATAAATTCGATGAATGAAGATTCAATGATCACCTTCTCTCTCTCTCCGCCTATTTATATTATTTTTAAAACTGTACCCCCACCGGGGTTCGAATTGGCAGAAGTTAGAATTCATGGGTCATTGGATCGGGTCCCAGTGGCTTAATGGTCTACGAGCTCGCCTTGTAACCAGAAGGTCCTGAGTTCGAACCCCTGTGGTGGGTGCGTACTGATGAAGAGTCCCAAACTAGGACGACACAGCTGCTCAGTGCTCCCAGCTGGTTTTCCAGTGGTTCTCTAACCAATGTCAGCTCATGATGTGAAATCCTGTAAACAATAAGTATGACTCATAAAAACTGGTACATTGGAAATTTGTTTCGAGAAGCTGAACTACACACAATGCCCTAGCTTAACTTGACTTCATTCCGGTTGCCTTATGTCTGTGGTGATAGTGAAGTCTATTGACACAGAATGCTGAGTAATGCAACACCTTACTGTACGACTTTTTCTTAATTAACTCCAAATAGCTAACTGTAAGAAATTTTGACGTTGGTGCAATTGTCTTACTCACTATTTATTATATCTTTGTTGGGTTAGTGGAAAATACTCAGTATGATTTTTTTTAAATTCGCATTTGTTCTAGATGGGCGTCACACTTGAAAATAAAATTTAAGGCTAATGACTAATTGGCATAACATTGATCAGTCTGATTTTCTCTTTATGTTCACTATATATGTATGAATTAGGCTAAGTGACATCTACTGTTATTTTGTTGATGTTAGCTAATAGCGTAATCCACAACGCTCATTTGGTCCTGTTTCGGATTTGTCAATTGAATGCATTTGCATTCTCAACGAGTGATGGTTTCCCCACTGAAACTAAAACTCAGAACACAATATTTTAAATGCCTAAGCCGTTATCCACTTGGCCCGACAGTAGCGCGTCTGTGACCCCATCTTAGTTGCATACTTGCCAACTAGACACACACACTTTGTCCGTGATACACTCCAAAACCTTGTCTAGTTTATCAACCAATAAAGTAAGTTCTGGAAAAAAGGGGGGTTGGATCTGAAGCTAACAACAACCACTATGACTATTTGAAACTTCTAAGCTTCAGGCTACTTCCACGAAGTAAGTGCTCAAGGAATGAATAAAAGTAGGTATGACTACTGATCCACTGAAGTAATGGACTTTTAACAGATGATTCGTAGATATAAGCATTGCTTCTTGTCAACTGGTAGTAGATAAAGTTGTCAGTCTAACGTAGCACTGTGTAATTCATATCCCATATATGCTTCCTAAAAATCAAGTAGTTGGTAGTATCTGATTTTCGTTAAATAATATTGTACTTATAGAATATCCCTTATTCTTATTCAGCTTTCGTTTTTATTCTCTCTCTCTCTCCTGCATAGGTGTTCTGATCTAGAAAGTGAAGATTATGAATTCTTCAAAGGTTTAGAATTTCTTCTAAGTCACAATGTATCTGATCTGGGTTATGAACTAACCTTTAGTACTGAGGTAAGTATTTGTGTGTATGTGTGTGTGCGTGTGTGCGTTGTCACCACTTGTTTATTGATTTATGTATGATTATTAATTTAAAATATTCTTTTGTGTAGATTGTTCAGAAAATAGATTTTGTAAAAAGTGTCAGGTTCCTTTGGTTATGTGTGTGTGTGTGTGTGTGTGCGTCTAATAACTTTAGCTTCATTTGTCGGATTGTTCGTATCATTTCAATTGTATGTTGGTTGAAATATTTGCTCGACTTGAATAACGCTTATTGTATGAAGTCCTGGTGAATGCTGGGTGTGATGTTCGTTACCATAGTGAGAGGGCTTAAAACCAGACTGATGGATATGCAGGTCTACCTACGCCTGGCGGAACTGGAAAACCTTGATTCTAAACCTATGATGGTATACATGGGCTGCAGAATTTGTTTTGGTCACGATAAATCATAGGAACGTAGCTTATGACGCTGCTCCTCCACTGACTGTCCTATGGATCGAACTTTCAAGTCCGAAGGCTCGTGGCTCATCAGTATTGAGCTGAGTTGAGCTAAGGCGAGTACTGATGGAAGTCTGCAGTAGTCTGTTGGCAGTGCTTTTAATGATGATGATGCGCGCCTCATGTTCCTGAACTGTATATTGATTGAAGCACTAACTTGTTTCATTATATTCAACTGTCGTATGTGGTCTGTTGTTTCTTTTTCATCGGATGCATAGATACAGTAAATAAAAGCGAAAACAGCAGTCGAACGGTACTTTTTTGTATATTTCAGTCAGCCAGTTTGTTGTATTTTTCATGTTGGTTAGTAAATACAAAAACAAAATATCAGTTTTTTTTTTAATTTTTTGTACTTCAAGAATTAAGCGCATCACTTGTTACTTGTGTGATCGTCTCCTCTTGTTGTTATCCACTAAATTTTACTGAGCCAAATTTATTTTGCTCTATTCCACAATTCCCACACTTTTTACTGACATGAATGAACCAAACTATCTATTGTTTCCCTTGGACTCCGAGTGGAATATACGGCTTCAGCAGTGCATCTCCATTTTTTTTCCTGTTCTCTGAGGTCCTTCTTAGCTGGTTGCATAATTGCTCATAAGCCTTCATTTCCTGCACACACACACACACACAATCCCCTCTGTGTTACCTTTAGACGATCCCCCCAACTCGTCGTTTCCCATTTGGCTTTCACTCGAGGATATCTGCCTTGCGTGGCATGTCACACTCGATGGTTTCCTCAATATGTGACCGACCCATCTCCATTTCTTTTTACCTATTTGTTGGGCAATCGGTTCTTGGTTGGTTGGTGGGTTCGTCGCACTGTGCTGACTTTCTTGTTCGTAATCCTTTCTGACCTACTATCTGATCTTTAGTGGCGAACCAGTGAACATGATTGTGAATATTTAGATATCAGATCAATAGTGGAATTCAACGCGTACCATATCGTCTTTATTTTGAAGGTCTTTTCAAATTTTCATACACGTCGGACTAGAAAACCTAGTCGAAAAAACAACAACAAAAGGTTTCGTATTAAATCATATCAGCAAGTAAAGGTGACATGATAAATATTTTCTTAGTTTAAGTTATATTTATTCTAGTAGTTGTTTTTTGCTTATTTTGCTTCACGAGTGTTAGCTTTTCACGTGGTCCGAATCACTTGACAATTGTCTAGGTGTCATCAACATTAAATCTTTTCATAGAGAGACAATGGTAGAGATAGCAGTGAAAACGTCTTTAGTATTAGTAATTCTACTAATTGTTATTATTTTACGCACGTTTCACCGATGAGTAGAAACCGTCATCACCATAGGCCTACCGTCCTAAACCTCCTAGAGTCGTATGTTTTTGTCTTCATCTTCTTCTAAGCAGTAATCAATAATTTACGATAGTGCTGAAGCAGGGAATTACTGACTTGTCAGTCAGGTGAACTCTGTAGTCGTCTAGAGACAAAAGAATCACTCAGTCTGGTCAAACACGTGGATTTGCGTCATTTTCTTATGGCTTAGCTGGTTTTTAGTTAATTTATTCACACTAACTCTCTCAATCAGTGAATTTTGGTTTAAAAGATGAAAAACACTGTTATAATCTAGTCTAGCGTCGGTGTGGTTCAGGGTTAGGATGGATGCTCGCGAAGCATTCAGGTGATTCGAAGTTCGATTTTTGGCTACCGATGCAGTCCTTAAAGCTCACCTAGCAAGTCTGGGAAAAGGAGAAAAGGCCCGAAGCCCTATGTGGCACTCGGAACACAAAAGAGTGGCGAAAAATGTGTTCACCTCACCTCTATTCTTTGGATGTTACTATACAGTTTCGTACATGGGTCCTAATTTTGCCTTCAAATTATTCTTGTTTTTCTTTCACAGATAAATGAATTCGGAAAGACTGACACCCGAGATCTTATTGAAAATGGTCGAAATGTACCAGTTACTGAAAGTAACAAAAAGGAGTATGTTCGTCTTGTGTGTCAAGAACGCATGACTGGTGCTATACGTCAACAGTTGGATGCTTTCTTAAGCGGTTTCTATGATATCATTCCAAAACGTATGATTAGTATCTTTAATGAACAAGAATTAGAACTTTTAATCAGTGGTCTGCCTAATATTGACATATCTGACTTGAAGGCGAATACAGTTTACTCCAAGTATCAACCGAATTCACCACAGATTGAATGGTTTTGGCAAGCACTGGAATCATTTGATCAAGAGGATTTAGCACGTTTTCTTCAGTTTGTTACTGGGACTAGTAAAGTCCCACTGGGTGGATTTACAAACTTGGAAGGAATGCATGGCGCGACGAAATTCCAGATAAGTCGAGCAGCTATATCAAGTACTAGTCATTTACCGTCTGCGCATACTTGGTGAGTGTTTCTCGTTTGTTTTATATTTTACTTTTTGTCACAAAATAATATGCATAGGAAATCTTTCTTCCTGTAGTGTGTGTTAATTGAACCAATTTCTTCTTAACGATAAAAATAACGTTCTCGAGTGGGGTTTGAACCCAGTATTTGACTGATGTTTTACCGTTTAGAAGTGCTCTTTAGTTTTTGCCTGACTCTCTTAAGCTGACTTCGCTTCATTAGTAGTTATGAAGATTTTTTTAAAGTCTTACTAACTCTGATCGCATATGGATTTGACATCAACTGGCGACTAATTTGTGTACATGAATTGAGTTGTGAACTAAATAGCCTTGTAGAGGTGTCACAGCAACCTAATACATGGCTTTTCCCAAGGTTGTTGGCGGTACGTCTTGCTGATGAATGTCGACAAGAATGAAACACACGTTGAGCAGGGCTTCTCCATAATTAACTTATTATCTCTAATATCGAGTTTTCGGCAGCCTGGAATAGTTGCTCAGATTATTGTTCCCTTAAATTCTAAATGGAACATAAGGCTTTAGAAGCACATCATCGCCCTTTTACTGTGTTGTGTGCAGTCTTTTTTCGCTGATTCCACAATTGCGCATAAGCTTTCGTCTCTTCACACAACTCAATGTAGTCATCGGGACTTATTGTTTCCTGCTGGTGTTCTACTTGACGACGTGGCGTTTGATCTCACTGAACAATATTTTCATTGTATGTCGAATCCGTCTTTTATTTTCTTCTGCATATTTTCAAAAGAATGGACACGGAACAAAGAGTACTCTTTTCGATAAATTCATCATCAGGTTCTACAATCATACATACATTATAATGAATGAATGAATTAGTCTTATGAACGACATTAATGTTTAAATAACATCGAATCAATAATACTGATAAATTACAGCTGAACAGCATCAACATAAAATAAACTGAATGTCAGAAGAATTATGAAAGATAATAATACAAATTCATGAGTTTATAGTCTCTACTGAAAGTCGGCCTGGGAAGTAGTAGGAGCTGGACTTGCTTCTTTTGAACACAGAGCACTGGTTGTTTGAGGCGAATTGCAATAGCCGCTGCTGTTTGGAGCATGGAGTGCTTCGACGATTTTGGTAACTTGTTAGGCACCCGGTATATTATCGAGAAGGATTCTTCTACGCTGGCTTTGTGACCGGTTTGCACCAGATGGTCTAATATTGAGCTGTTAATAATTTTAACTACACCTTTACTCAGCCATAGTGGGAGATGTTCTCGAGCGGGCACGAAAAATCAAGTTCCTAGAGCAACGGCCAATATATCTGGCTCCACAAGCGCATTTGAATTGGTAGATACAATTTGAAGTGGCTAGTCTAGCTACTTCATCTTTCAGTCGAGGTAGCACCATCGGTCGTGTAGAGAATAGGACGTGTAGTTCGCCAGCATTAAAAGTTCTTTGAAGTGATTTTCTTAATTTCTTCGTAATTATCTCGCTTGGTATATCGCCCATGAATTGTTGTCGTTTATGTAAAGTGGCTTCTTGTTTACGGATAGTGAGTAGTCCATTTCCGCATATTTGTTTGTCGACGGAGGCTATTGGTTGGTTAGTTGTTAAATTTCCTTGTTTTTAATCCTTTCTGACCAGTCATCTGATCCTTTAGTATATGGAGCAAAGGTAGCTGTTGATGAAAGTCTACAGATACCTGAAGCATATTTTACTGACATGTAATGGCTATAATAAATCTGCCTATGGCAATAATACTCACATCGAGTCTCATTTTTGTTGACTTGAAAAAGAGCCCCTAAGAAAATGCGATGATCTGTGTGTACCATATTAGATGGCTGATTGTGCAGTTAGTGTATTAATCCTGTGTCGATTAGGTTACTTACATATCAGTCAATGATGTGTGTTTATACGCGTGGTCCTATACTGTTTCCTACACTGAAGAGTCGGTGGCACAGTGGTTAGGACTCTCGCCGACCATGCACATGGTCCGGGGTTCGACCCCCTGCCGACGCACACCTGATATCACTGTCGGCCTGCAAAATTTGGGCTACCGATATTACATGTTGAAAATTCCATACCTCTACCAAATAGTACGGTGTGAAATCAAGTTGTAATCAAAAATAATTTTTAAAAATAAATATAATGCAGTATACCATAGTAGTCATCCTGCTTTCCTGTTACAATTTTTTTCTCTAACTGAAATTTAATCACATTTTTCGATTAGATTTCTTTTTGTTGAATCGTTTTTTTCTTTTCCATTTATAGCTTTAATACACTTGTATTACCGGCCTACGAAAGCTATGAACAGTTAAGATCAAGACTGTTAATGGCTATACGTGAATGTAGTGAAGGCTATGGGATGGCATAATTCGCCTGCTTTAAAAGGAAAATACACAACACTTTCTTATCATTCTTCTTCTCACGTGTGTGTTTTTGTCACCAATAATACCATCACCATTACCACTGCTCCCCCTTTTGCCTTGTTCTTCTGTTATTTTTTGTTTTGTTCTGTTTTTTTCTACTACTGAACAATAATGTTCATCAAAATAAAGTAAAATAAGATAAAAACCGGCAGCTGCACGGATTTACTGTGATGTGTGTTACGAGAGGGCTGTTGTTGTTACGCACACATGAAAGAAGAATGTGTCTTATACTGAAAAAAATGCAAAAAGTGGTTCTTTTGTTGTATTTCACTTTCTCTATATACATATACATATACATCTATCCATCCATCCATCTATATGTTTCTACATACACACTTCTCTTAGATTGTTTTCCACCATTTCAACCATTTATTATCTAAAAAAAAAATTCGTTTGAAGCGCTTTTTTATATACACAAACAAACACATTAAAACAATGTTCAATTTTCAATAAATTCAAAAAAAACAGGACGTATAAATTTCTTGTTGTTACTATTATTATTATTCCTATTTCTATTACTTTTAGTTGTTACAAGTATCTGAAACTCAACTATCCCCCCCCCCACTTTCGTATGTAAAGTCTTTTTTCTCCACTAACCTTTTCTTTGTTTCACTGGATGGCTAAATGAATGAATCTGTGTTCATAGGAAAGGAAAGAATATCACTGCTCAGAAATAATGACCTTTTTTGTTTTATAAATTCTATAGGTCAATTTATTTTTATCTTCATATGTGTTCCACTCTGTCTGTACTCCGCTCGTTTTCCAGACTGCTGCCTATTTCTCTAAATCTTCTTTCTTTCTCCCTATCTCTCTCTCTCGCCCTCTTCCATATACCACAAATACACATTTCTGTTGTTGTTTTGTTTTTTGCCACATTTTTCCCGGATGTATCATCTGTTAGCGTGCGTCCGTGCGCGCCACTCCTCCACTCCCTTGCGGTTTTCACCTCTCTCTCTTATCGGGTTCCAATTGTCTTGTGTTATCTTTTACTTTCCAATTAAATCACTATTTCGTTCATATTCAACAACAAAAAAACAGTTGGTAATGTGTAGTAAATTTTTTTGCATCTAAAAGAATTGTTTTCCCTCTGTTAACTTCCTTTGGGGGTATCGTCGGGTAGGACGGCGGGGGGCAGAAGAAAATATTTTAAGTTATTGTTGTTAAATATTTTTGCCACTGATTGGAATTTCCGCCATATTGGACGCTTTGTCGTAGTGACTGTTGACTTTTTGGCTACTTGTGTTTTTAGAAAGGATAAAGAAGGACTAGTCTCTACTAAGCAGTGTTTGAGAGAATAAGAAACTCCCTCTGACAGTTCCAATGTGATCCGAGTGGTATATAGGGCTTCAAGTCTGTTGAATTTTCAGTGGCAGTGTTGGTGTGTTGTTTTTTTCACGAGATGGAGTGGCTAGCTTCACACCCAACCACCCTTCATTTTTCGGATTCATTAGGTTAAGTGACGTTTAAGAGTTTGTCCCCCAGGAGCCGAAACCAGAGCATGTGTGTGTGTGTGTTGACAGGCATTCTCTACCATTGAACCACCACCATCCTTTGGTGACATTATTACTTATCTACAAGTTACAGAGGTGTATCTTTCCAGTACCCGCTGAACCTCAGTTCCAAGTTTCCTATAAGATCGCTTACCAGCTTTTAATCTTGTTTCTTATGAAATGGTGTTACTTTTCTGAAAGCCTCATCGGTACTTTGTTGGAATTAGTGAATTAACAAACAATTCTCCACACTGACGAAATTAAAGTGACATTACAAATGTTTGTATAAAATTTATGTTTAAAGCAATAGTCGTTATACAAACTGGAAGCACATCCAAGAGATCTGACAGTTTAATTTGAACTGGAATTCGTGCTCTGCATCACGAAGTCAATTATCTAAAGACTAGAGCATTTCTGCCAAGGTTATGTTCTTCCTCCATCTTAGTCTGACCCTATTGGCTTAGCAGTCAGTTGCAATAGTATGCCATCAGAGGTAAAGCGGTTACGACTGTGCATTACACTGAGTGAGGTATTAGTTTCTGGGTGAAATATGATTACAGCTAAGTTAGACTACCAGCGTTTAAGGAAAAGAGAAAATTCCTTTTGTGGCTCATTGAACTAGATATCCAACTTTCACCCCAGCGGGTTCGAACCCTGGTTATTAACCCTAGCAACAAACGTGGATCAATAAAATATATCATATATGAAGGTTAAAAAATCAGTTCTATAACATATTTTAGACATTTGGTTTCATTGCCACAAAGAGCTTAGTAACATGCGTTAGGCATAGGTAGCTGGCGATTCACCTGCTGAATTAGTAAATTTTATGGACAAGGTACTTAACCTCATCGTTTCGAAGATCTTATGACAACATTTATTCCTTACTGCAAGATACTTTATCGCATTTTCAGTTCGCCTGGCTGGTTTCGACATACTACTTTGCACAGATGTGCAGCAGTTCGATTCACCATACTCCATAGAGGGCACGAAGCAAGAGGAGAAAGTAAACAGAAATGCAAAGTAGGGACAGTAAACTGATATATGCGGCAAAAAGAATAGTAATATCGAAGGAGAATATAGCTATATTGGATATTATAAGTCACAAATAGTGAATGTATCTGCGTTAGACATTGAGAACGAGGACTTTGAGCCATATGACCGATTGTCTCCAGGTGTCATTGGTTTTTACCGTCCTGAGAACCCCAACCAGGAAGTCTGCGCCTCCCTACGTGACTCAAAATAACTGTTGTGGATTTCAGTGACTGATCAAGCCATGTTTTACCTTAACCACCACTAGCTTCTTTCCAACCTGCTCCATCCTATGTCAGCTAACATTGCCTGTCGAGGAAGGTGATGGATACCCAGGCCGTACGTAACACATGTCCTTACCATCTCAATCGATATAACTTCACAACCTCTTCGATCACTTTCCCCTCTTTACTTAAAACTCGACGCCTAACCTCGATATTGCTCACCCTATTATACCACTTCACGCGGGAGATAGAACGCAGGTACCAATGATCGGAGACAGCTAGCCAGGCTTTTCATGTCTTACACTTTCAATGGCCATGTCACACTCACAGCCGTGAAGGAGTACGGAGTGGACTGCTGAGCAGTACAGACGCCCTTTGGTCAACAGTCAGTCGGATATCACGTCTAATCCAGAGATGGCGTCAGTTAGCATATGCCAAACGAACCACCTATATCCGTGGTGAGATTTCGTCAGTGATCAACCCGCTGGCGTTGGCTGATGCAACTTCCCACTCAAATAAGTGAAGCGGTCAACGTGCTCTACCACTTCACTCCTTCATTTCTAAACGAGGAATCGACTTAGTCCAGTCTAGTAGTATCATCTCACAATTGATGGGAGCGAATCGCATGCCAAACATTCGAAGATTGTTGCCTGGCAAGGTGTTCAAAAAACTGCATTTAGTCAGCGTCTTCACCCAGGTGGCAGGACTATATCATCTGCATATTCTAAATCAACAGGATTACTACCTGGTAACAAGTCAATCCCTGAGTCGCTGAATTCACTTAGGGTTGATTCCATTAGTACATCTATGATGAAATTGAATAGAAATTAGGATAGTGGGACACCACTAGTTGTCACCAGTTCAGATGACAACTCACCATAAGCTCTCACCTGGCTGTATGAGTTCGAGTAGAGTGCCTTGATCAGTGCAATGTATTTTCTCGGCATTCCTTTTACAGCCAAACATCGCCAGAGTACCTCTCGGTCGACAGAATCGAATGCCACCTTTAGGTCAAGAAATATAACGATTGTTGGACGCCAACGGTAAGTATGCCTATGTTCCAGAATCTGTCGAAGGGTGAAGATATGATCAATACACCGTCTTCCTGGTCTAAAGCCTGCCTGGTTCTCTCGTGTTTGTGCCTCCAGAGCACCACTTAGTCTACGCATCATTATCGAGCCTAGGACTTTAGATACCATATTAGTCAAGCTAATCCCCCTGTGATTATCACAGGAAGACATGTCTCCCTTCTTGTATATCGAGATAATCAGTGACTTACACCAACCCGATGGGACTTCCTCTGATTACCAGACGCTGCCTAGCACCTCAGTTAACGCAGACAGTGAACTGTCTCCACCGTATTTAAATACCTCTGGAGTCATTCCATCAGGTCTGCTGCTTTGCTTCGTTTCAGACTAGTGGCAGCCTTAGTAACCTCAGTTAGGGACGGAGGACCTGTGTCTATATCCCATTCAGGGAGGTGTTGGATGTTCGGTAAGTTGAGTGTGGCTGTAGGCCAATTGAATTGCTCCTCAAAGTGTTCTTTCCAGCGTTCCAGTCGTCTATCCTGGGAGCTAATTATGGTGCCATTTTTCTCAGAGATTGTTTCACTTATCATTTACATTTTACCACCTGTTTCCCTGATAAGCCTAAATAGTTGTCTGGTGTTACCAATCGCCGATGCCTTTCCCATCTCTTTCGCTATTGTCGCCCATCACTGTTCACGGTCGTTACGAAGGCTTCTTGTTAGTTTGCGTTTGAGTAGCTTTCGTCCTTATCAAAGTCGGAGCTCGCCAGAATCAGCCTTCTTGCGTCAATCAGTTCGGATGAGGTGGTACAAATCCAATGGCTCTTACTAACTTTTGGTTTCAGTTTATTAACAGCTGTGTCTACAGCTAACTGTATGTTGTGCCAGGTTACCTCAGGGGAAGTCCTGCTGTCGACCTCAGATACACGTTTCGCTATTTCTTCCTTAAATAGGGACGTAACTAATTCGCTTCCAACAATTTTTTATGTCCATTTAGTCGTGAGCATAAATGTGCGCGAACCAGGGCGTGATCAGAGTATACGCACATGTTCCAGAAGGAACGGCAGTCTTCCACCAACCCTCACCAACTATACCCTTCCACAGTCTGAGTCCAGCATTATCAAACATGCACAAGACAACACCAACAATAAGGAATCTAAATCATCAGTAGTAATTCCACACAAAGAAGGAAACTCGGAAACCTTATGCAGAATTCTTGACAAGGCAGGAAAAAAAGTGGCTGATATCGAAACCCACAAACTCAATTACAAACAAGCATTGTCGGTTAAAGGATCCTGTGGAGCCTTTAAAACAAAACAATTTAGTTCATCCAATATCCTACAATGGTTGTCAGGTCAGTAGTAGAACAGGTGCGGTCAGACTAGCCAAGCATAAAAAAACCTGGCAAAATCTAGATTTGTTGACCCGAATAAGATAAGAAATCTAGAGAATAGTTCAGCTACAGCACTCACCACTTGCATTTGCACACAACGAACCATATAATAGGATGGGATGAGATGAGATGACAGTTTCAGAATTTAATTTAACAGGGTGAATGGAGGGAGAGATTGATAACGGAAGCTTTGTTTACCGAATCAACTGCAAACACGTGCAATAGGAATGATTCAACACCTGTCCAGCCGGACATCTGGAAAATTCTACTACCCCACCGACGACAAATAGGAGAGGACAAAGAAAACCATAAAACTCAAGTTTCGAAGTCGTGTGATTATAAATGAGGAAATGATTATGAACGATAAATTTTGTTGAAAACCTCGTCATCCGGTAAATAATACTATTTCACTGTGTGATACATCTAATAAACAAACTAATATGGAATCAAGTAAATCTCGTTTTCGACTGATATTAAAATTAACAATTTGACATGTGGAAGAATTTCGCTAAAGACCATTCCACAAAGACTAGGCATAATGTATGTAGTGTAATCATAGACAACAAGATGTGCCTCTCATGTGAATACAACAAGAGTTACTTTACTAGTCACTCTGTATCTTTGATGAAAATTAAGGAGGAACGCCTATATTGTCTGTTTCACTAACACACTAAGTGTACTATGCTTATGGAAATTTACAACTTGAGGTGAAATCGCCAAACGAACCTCCTCAGCTTAGCCTTTAGAATTGCGAATTTTCCTTCTCATTCGAAAATCAAATAAATTCATATTATCTTAAAATATCAAGATTTATTTATACACAATACACAAAGCCTCCCACCCCAACCCCCACCGAAAAAATGAAATTATAAACACTTTGCAATAAAAACAGTTTTCAGCGCTGTCTTGATTTCTTCTTCTTCCCTGACTGTGAAGAATTACTGTAGGTGAAGTTCTTGCCTATTTGTGAAAATTGATTGTTCGGAAATCCATTAGACAAGAAATTAGGCGATGACTGATTATAGTGTGTAGTCACAACTGAATTGGCTGAAGGTACAGTGGTAGGAATTCCTGTAAAGGTAAAAGAACAGTGTCAATAACACAAACGGTAGGATAAAATTTAACATCAAACTTAAAATTTAAAATCTAGTCGTATCATATATGTATATATCTCGTGTTGCTGACTTCAAAGAGTTCTTCAAGTCAAAATACCATTAGGAACTATGAGAACGGGTTTCAATATCCACAAAAATTGAGTGTTTTATCTTCTAAGATGTATATAACATACCCAAGTGTAGTTATTCGCTTAATTCTACCTAACTCGTCGTTTAAACAGCAGAATTAAATTCTAGAAGAGAAAACTCAATACTGTAATGATTTAGTAGTTATTTAAGTGTCTTAAGAGTAGAGAGGTCGGTTAAAACACCGAAGATTCATGAAGTGCACTTTTGATCTTTAATCTAAAAAGGCAAATTAGGACATCCAGCAAGCCTACAATGCTTTTCCACAACTTTGTTCTCTAGGTTAGTACTGACTACGAACATACATGGATATTGTCACTGACATCAAAGCAAATTTAGCTGCACATAGTTTCATTTTATATTATTTCATTCCTTCACGTTCTGAGTGGAACACAGGGCTTCAAACGAGAGCTTTAGTTTTCCGTAGCAGTGGATTAATTTCTACGGGGTGGGGTTGATAATAGCCTCACACCCAACCTTCCCTTTTCAGTGACCTTACGACCGGCTTAGCGAGGTTTACGAGTGCGTCTGTCGGGGATTGAAACCAGGACCACATGCATAGTCTGAGAGAATCCTATCGCACACAGATTACACCACCATTTACCAGAGGTGAAAACTGACTTTTCTTGTAACAACCTGTGAACACTTTGAATATGTGTCTGTCTGTTTTCGACACAGAACTTTGCATCAATGTGCAGCAGTTCAAGTCGCCACACTCCATGTAGCACACAAAGCAAGAGAAGAAAGTAGAAGAAATGCATAAGAGACGGTAGACAGGGGTATGAAACAAAAGGAATAGTAATAACGATGAACAATATAGTTTCATTGGGTATTATAAGTCACAATGAGTGCCATTGAGAACAATTTTGAGCCATATTACTAATTATCTCCAGCCATTGGTGTTTACCATCCCGAGGACCCCAACCAGGAAATCTACACCTTCCTACGTGGCTTAAACTAACTGTTGTGGATTTCATTGACTGGTGCCATGTTCTGGATTGGCCACCGCTAGCTGTTTTCCAGCCTGACCCTATGTCAGCCAATATTGACCGTCGAGGAAGGCGATGCTTAGGCCGTACGTAACACATGTTCTAACCATCTCAGTCAATGTAACTTCACAGTTTCGTCGATTGATTTCCCCTCCTTACCAAGCACTCGACGCGTAACCTCAGTTTTACTCCCTCCATTATACTACTTCACACGGGAGACAGAACGCAGGCACCAATGATCAAAGACACTTCAATGGCCGTGTCTCACAGCCGTGAAGGAGGACGGAGTGGACTGCTGTGCATTACACCCGCCCAATCAAATGCCAAACATTCGTTGGTATGCATAAATATGCATCTACCCCTGCATAAATGCGCGAGGCTAATGGTGATGAAACCTTCAGCCAATCTACAAATAACTTGGAGCCCACAGTCTTTAAAAGGCTTTACTCACTGAGCTGAATAGACTCGAGTAAACATTTGATGAACTCGCCCTTAAATCAGCGAAGCGGCTATCCGATGTCTGGACTCCAGAGTATTACTGATTAATAAATGCAATCATGACTCAGTATTTGTACTTGCAAACTGAAATGACGCAACAGGTGTTGCTGACTGGGAAGAATGTTTGTGCACACCCTACTAAGCCAGGAAAATCAGTTAGATAGCGATTAAATCATAAAAGCAGAATCACTTTCGTAGGATAAGCTGCTTACTCTACGGTAAGGTACGAGTTAGGATGAAGTAGTGCTACTGATCGGACATAGGCCACTCGTATGGCTGTTGTAGAAAGAACACTGAGTCCCAAAGCCAAAATTCCACTGCCGAAATGAAACCCAATAGACAGTCGCGTCTTTTCTGGTCGAACGGTGCAACAAAAATAATCAATCATATCTGCCGATGAAGTTTCTGTAGCAATTTGGTTAAGTTTTGGGGGTGGAGTTGCTAGCACCACGCCCCAACCCTCCCTCTTTATCCAGGCTTGGGACCGGCTAGAAAACCGGCGAGCTAGTAATCTAGGTGGGAAGACTGGGATATTCTGGACCGACGTAAAGAACTTAGAAGACGTAGATTTCGCGGATGATTTATGTTTGATGTCACACAAAATCGAAGGCTTACAAGCGAAAACCCACAAACTGGTCGAAGAAGCAGCCAGAGAAGACAGGACTCCAGGTGAACATAGACAAACAAGACGGAGGTTATGAAAATAACCAACCAACCAACAACAACATCCAGCGCTAATCACCATCAACGGGAGGGATTTGAAAGAGGTTACTTCATTCACTTCACTTATCTAGGGAGCATTGTTTCAACTACAGGAGAAACGGACGAGGATGTCAAATCGAGAATCGGGAAGGCGAGAAACACATTCATCAACCTGAAACCAATCTGGAAATCTTCGTCACTCAGTCTGCATCAACAACAAAATTCGGATTTTCAATACAAACGTCAAGTCAGTTCTTCCATACGGATCAGAAACTTGGCGGGTCACAAAGAATATTTCCAACAGCCTGTTGCAGACCTTTATCAACAACTGTCTTCACTCTATACTCAAGATCAGGTGGTCAGAAAGAATCACAAACAAGAAACTATGGGAACAAACAAAACAAGAACCAATCGCTCAAGAAATATGCAGGAGAAAGTGGAGATGGATCGGACACTCGCTGAGGAGACCGCTGGGTGACATCGCACGTCAGGCCCTCGAATGGAACCCGAGAGGAAAGCGGCGAGTGGGACATCTAAGGGTGACATGGAGATCGTGTGAAGAGGAGTTGAAACAGTATGGACTAATATGGATGCAAGTGAAAGTACAGCAGAAGACAGAAGCAAGTGGAGACGTGTTCCCTATGTTCCACTAGGAACCCAAGGGAACAATAAATATAATAATAAAAACATCTGCCGATGTCTTTCCTCAATTTCTGTTTACGCATAGAAGGAAATGGTGGCTTTCATTTTACTGTTAAAAGCAAGACATCTATCTATAGTCATTTTAGCAGGTGAATTTAGTACTCAGACAGCTGAACAAAACGAAAAGCATATTAGGGGGATCTATTGGGTCCTATGTAAGTGAACTCAGAAAAGTGATCGTTCCCTAATATTCTGATTAGATAGACAATTGTTCCTGGACAGCATTAACTTGAAACACAAAAATACACATCATGTTACCTGACGACAATCAGAATCCAACCAAAATTCAACAGAAACTACTTAGCTAAAATTAATCGATGGCAAGAATTGGTGCAGAATTCCCGCCTATGTTAGAACACCTGCTTGTGTTTGTGTACGAGTGAACAGATGGAGAGCTTCGAGGACCAGCTATTTGAAGAGAACCTAAAGGGCATACTAAGGGAGGAGACAACTAAACATAAGTATGAGCATACCAATACCCATCCAGAGAAAGCCTAACATCATATTCATTCGGTTGTAGAACCAATTGGGAGGAATGGAACTGTTTTTTATTTGTTGCTGAACTTCGTGGTCTAACTGTGAAGGACTCATCGTCTATTTCAGAAAACAACCCACAAAATACTTTGACTAATGGTGTGATACGTGGAAATGAATAGTTGCAACTCAACGTTGTAGGAAATATAGCAGACACCACCACCTGTCATCATCTTGATCCTGATAATCCTCTTTAATCCTTCTCTACTCTTTTAGCCATATATTTAAATTTGTTTCGGTTCCTTTTCTTCATTTCCATGTGATTCAAAGAAATACAGCAACTCGAAATGATACAATTTTGTGAAAAATGCGAAGTGATTTAGTCGACCAGTTTTCTATGTGCGTACACAAACAATAAAATCCAGTGTCACATTCAAAATAAACGGTGGATCGGCTAATAACCAGCGCAGTTGGAGGCAAACGATTTGGTCTTATAATTATTATAAGGACTATTTCCTCTGGGTTAAACACATCTGCAAAATAGTACCCCACTAATATTCCAAATCAGATTAAAATCTAGATTTGAAAAACTAATTCAAATTTACATATATATATATATATATATATATATTCCATTATGTACTCATATATTTTAAAAGCTTACCTGTTTCACTTTCGTTCTGAGAACTTAAGGACTAAACAGAAAATTACACTTCATGTACTGAACTTACTGAAACTGCTGTAACTGATGACCTGGAAAAAAGGCGATCGGAGTCTCTAAATTTTCTAGCACGTTTGTCGCCAACATTTCTGGAGAGTGAAAACCCCGAATTACCGGTGACCGTTGAGTTTGATGTGTTAGACATCAAATATCGATCCCAACCTTTAATAATATTTCCGTAGGGTGCAGTATCATCAAGATAACTTCCCTCAAAAAGGTATATCTGGCGTTCTAATGTTGAAAGAGTGTCCTTGAATTACAAATCTACGTAGTTGTATCCTAATTACTTACTGTTAGGGTCTTTCGTTGTTTAAGTAAGTCAAAAAGTTCATTCTTGATATCCAAGGCATTTGATTTGTGATTTATCTGTGGCCTCATAACTTCATAAACATGACCTTGAAATAAATTCAAAAATGGAGCGGCTTGATTATTCAATGTAGCAGCCCCACATACAAATTTGATTGAGGATAGAAGGATTTTAGTTCGTATTACCATTTCTCTAATAAGTGTCTACGATTTCCTTAACATTTCTCCAGTTTGGGGCACTGACACCATTTCTTCTGGGAGCACGTCCCAAGAGCCAACTACTTGGTATGCCATCACGTGTCATAGCCATCTCAACCTATTCAGCTTCCTTACCTCGAAGACTAACTTACCCTCCTCACCTAACACTTTATGCGTAACCTCAACAGCGATCGCCATATTATACAGCCTATCTCATGAGATAGAACACAGACACCTATAATCAAACACCGGTATTCTTTTCATAATTTCCAGTATCAGGGGTAACTTCTCATAGTCTAGGTGTACAGTATCATCAGCAAACTGTAAGTTGATGATGATGATAAGTCTCTAAAGTCATTTATAGACTATCCTACTGATATATGTCTGATTGGATTGAAATGATATAAGGATGACAGTTTAAGAATTCAGCCTTGTGTTACATCCCAATTGGAAATGTTTTCTCGGATAATTCGCAAACAGTAATCACTGAATAGAAAACATTCTACAGAATTTATGAAACTCATTAACTGACGCAATACTTTTGCAGGCACTATAGTGTTTCCTCAATAAAGCGAGATTTGTATATTTCGGCTGCATAAAACGAGCAAGTGGTACCCTGGCAATGCCAATGACTACAACAAGTCTTGGAATTATGCACTACAACTTTTACTTTACTGAATACTCCAGCAGATTTTAAATAAACACTTGACAAATATCAAATTTATACAGGAAGTCAGTAAGATTTAGTAAACTAAAAGCACTTTCGGTTTACACAGGAGTTCTCCATGCCAAATTTATTCCTCCATGGGCCTACACAGATTACAACTTCAATTAAATAACGTTGACGTTGAAGAAATTCCATTCTTCATTACTAAACTTAATGATAATAATAATTATGTTTTTTATTCTAGAAACAGGAGCATTCCTAATGTTTCACTTTATGTAAATGCAGTTACATACAGTTCCACTAAGAACTCAATGCAACTCGGTGCACAGTAGTATATACACAAATTAAAATGAAAAATAACGTCCTCCTTACCTTCTGAGCAATTTTTCCTTATTATAGGATAATAACTTTCTTTCACGTATGAGCCTGGGTTATGTCTATGAAGTCACAATATTACATCAGTTAAATCTTCCCCAAAAACCAAGGTCACTTGAAACCAATAGCAACAAAGCGACAAGCGTCATTGAGGGGATATGCAATAAAGTCGCTCTCTGTAGCGGGTGAAAGTTTTCGCACTGTGAATGTTGCACTAATTGAAAATGAATTTGGTGGTTTCACGTCATTAGAATTACTTACTATAGCTTCTTTAGTAAAACGGGTGGGAAAGCGTGAGTTGAATAACCTGCAAACCTCCCACAGGTCTTTCTGGAGTTTCTCCATCTAGTAATCAGTTGTGGGGGGCTTTGCATGTCGTTATTATTCAGCGATTTCACTAGTTTTACGCTGTTACGAGTAGGATATTCGCCTTTGTTTCATGAATGCAGACAACTGATTAGATTTGTACGAATCATAGGTGTGCCTGAATGTAATGAGTGATGAAAAGTGACTTAATCTGTGGTATAGTTTGGCGCGCCTACACATGTGGTTTCGGATCTTAACGAGGATGAAGTCGGACTTTGTTGGACTTGGATTAATTTCTTAATCTTGTTGAGCTCTCCTCGCAGCAGTTGTCCAGGAAGACAGTTTCGAGTTGGTGCAGATTGCGTATCCCACATATGAGGAATTCTTTCGTCTAGTTAGGCAGGTTTCCCTTGACCCTAAAACTTTGCGCTGTTGTGGTTAGCCTTGTATGTGACACTTCATAGAAAGCATTTGATGAAATCCATGGAAATGGCGTTAGTGTGTTTCTCGTTGCCCTGGACTTTGCCCAGATTTCCGTTTTTGTCGGTTATGAAGGGTTTGGGGGTTTCCTGGAAGCAGTATTGTTCTTTCCTAGGAGGTTGATAATCAGACAAATAGTCTTCCTAGAAATTATTTTTTGGGGAGATAAAGATAGGAGGAAATATTCGGTGCAAGCTATTTTACATTCAGCCTTGTTCTAAATTCAGTCCCCTATGGATATAGTGGTTTAGTAAGACAAGATATCCAAGGACCTAGCAAAGTAGAACCCTATGGTCAGTAAGATTCCTCACAAATCTGTAAAGGACCCACGGAGCGGCATCTAGGCAAGAAGTTGAATACGAAGGCAGTGGGCTGAAGGATAGAAGCACTGGGTACCACTTAGATGTAGACAATACTTTTTCTTCTAGCAGCACCTATATTCATCCTTTAATCTTAGGCCTCCAAAATACACACCGTTATCACGCAGACAACAGTGATGTTGGGACCTGAGAATTATGCAGCTATACTATTAGTCGCATCATACTTCTCCGCCACAGTATCAATCGCTCAACGCTCAACATTTTCACGCACTACTACCTTTTATAATGGAAACTTGCACATAGGTTGCCAGGTGCGCCTTCAGACAAGAGCATTCATAGCAGTAATGAAGCATACACGTGTATATAAGAAGGGATTGTCTCAGTATTATTTACTGTTATTCCGTTGGGTTCCGGGTGGAACATGGAGATTTAACAACACATCTATTTTCTGCTGTCCTCGGTGAGGTTAAGGTAGAGGTTTGACTGTCATTCTATGCTTCGTTCGATGACGATTTGTAGATTAGCAGTTTTACCACTAGATGATTTGCATTTCCTGAATCCAGCTTGTTCCAGCTGAATGAGTTCTGTACTCAGCGCACACTTTATTCTCTCCAGGATGACGCGACTTATCATTTTACTTCGTTTTCAGTGTCCTAAAATGACATTGGCTTGTGACGAAGTCTATTCCGAGTATGCTGGTCTTAATCATCATGAAAAAATTTTTGTATTCTATTCTGTGAGTGGTACATACTGTGTGATGACTGGTGATGCTATCTAGTTGCCCCGTATGAATCAGACAAAGTGGAGCCTAAGTTTGGAAGGACTTTAAGACTGTACTTGTACCTAAGTCGTCTAATGGAACACGTTTTAAATGTAGACTTATTACTATTACTTCCCCTTTTCTAAAAGCTATGGAAAAGTTACTCTTACTTAATCTTCAACCTTCACTTAAATCTTTTAACGATCTCAAATAATTCGCCTATAAACACAGTAGAAGTACTTAATTCGCATCTACACTGTATTAAGATAAACAGCTCTCTATCAGTAGTCAGAAAATGCCTTTAAACTAAATCCTTCCAAATGTCAAACTGTCAATTTCAGTTTCCGATGTAAAAGAAAGTTAGATGAGGCTGTTAATTCCTATGACCGTTGCAAAATTGATGAGTGGTACAGAAAACAAGCCTGACGTTAAGTATCTCGGACCAATTCATCAAACAGCGACTTAGCCTTAAGTGTATACCACACGCATGCATAATGTTTATGAGCTAGGTATGCAAATCAAGGTAAACGCTAGTACGGTACACTCATTATTTAAAGAACTAACTCATATGTGAGAAATACGATTAGACCAGCTTTACAACGTTTAATATATTTAGACACAATAAACATACACTGCTTACTTCTATGACGCATTATCTAAAGCTACCTTAAAGTAGTTCCCCCTGAATGTAATCTCCTGTTGCTACTACCTAAGTGAGCAACTCAACGTTATCTTTAAATTACAAAGTAAAAGCGGACATCCTGAGAGCTTTCTGGGTAAAATTATCGTCTCCTGGTCGAAAAAATAAACATATCCTAATCTCTTCACGAAAGCGTTTTATACTATCGCCTAAAATGACTCACTATTTGCTGTCACTTAAAAAGTAAAAATAAACTTATCGAAGGCAGTGTACTTATGGTTTCTATATATGATAATGATGAAAAAGCTTTATCCATAGGGTTATAGCAATTAGATGCGCAATATAAATCCGAAACACAAGGACTACAATTCTCAATTACAGAACATTTACTTTGCTACCAAATCGTCTAAATAGATGCTTCGCCAAGAAACAGAAGACCATTGGTTCAAGGAAAATTTATTTAAAGTTTTCTTATACATCATGGGCAACCGTGTTTATAACCACGGAGAAATCACAAGCATCCGAAAAATAGGAATTTCATTATTTGAACTGAAATAAGCAATTTGTATCCGGCCAATTTTTTCACCCCGAATAATAATTAGCTTCTCAGCTTGTTGTAACTTCGAAAAAACCACCGATTGTAGACCAAAATCCGAAACGTTATTCTTGCTAGTTAAATTCTTACCGAACACTCACCAGATCATCGTATGTTATCCGCTTTTCAAATCGTTTTGAAACAAATAAAATGGCTGTTAACACCACGTTTACTACAGGCAGTCCTGGTTCGTGCGTTTGGATCTAGTACACTAGGCATTAACAAACATTTAGGGATTTCCTATTGCTTCCAAAAGTATGTAAGAGTTAGACTTAGGGTGTACTTCTACCTGACAATAACCACTCTTACAAACTCCTTCACCGTTTATGACCTTAATTAGTACTCTGCCTACGTGCAAGTACTAAAGAACGGAATCAAAGTTAGAAGACTCGAAATGGCAAGTGCAACTGGACCGGAATTATATTTACACAAAGAGATATGCAATTTGATAAGAAATAAAAAGTACACACTTATCTGGAGGTGAGACGGTTGTCGGCTCGTAGAGTGTACTAGGTGAAAGTACAGCTAGAGAGCGAGACAGTAACCGTACAGGAGGAACCGGAGTACCAAGCGGAAGTGGAAGTCAAGTTAAACATGTCAGGTTGCATTCATTCAAACAAAAGTTCAAAGGTACAATGTACACTACAGGTTATCCCCCCCTTAGAAGGTTGGTGGGATAACAGCAAGCTTCGATATATAAAAGTAACAAGGTGGCGTACAATAACGGTGAATGGACAAGAAAATGTGAAGATAGTAATAAAATAGCTGTTTTTCTTTTTTTTAAAATATATATT